GTTGTTGTTTGTTTTGCTTGTGCTTATTATTGCTTTTGTGTGGTTGTGCTACCATTGCCTACCGACCATTCGCATAGGTAATAGGTATTCGTACCTAGGCACTCGGCATTGTGAAATGTGTGCGCTCGTGTCGAGAATGGTCCAGAGAGCAGAGACCACACACGAACTGACTGGAAGGTTTCGCATCGGCAGGCCTAGCGCATTGACTTTTGGACAGAATTTTCGGTCGAGGCGTGACAGAGAGAATGGAGAGTTGGATCGAATCACGTCTTTGGGCAATGAACAAATCGGATGAGGAATGCCTCTGTACTCGCCTCTGTGCCCGGGAGCTTCGTGGGAGCGAGAGTCTGTTGATTCTTTTGCCTGTGCATGTGCATGTTCGTCCTATATATCAGCAGAGACGTCAGCACTCGCAAGTCCACCTAGTCAGTCGAATTGCCTTTTTGGAGGAGACAAATGTAAGGTTTTCGCTGACTGTTGTCAATTGAGGTGTCTGACTGACGGGAAGCTGTGTGTTTGCATATGCGTGGTGGTGTGTCAAGAGTACGTGTGTGTGGTTAGTGTTCGCTGTGGCCGTGCCTGAGAGAGAGACAGAGAGAGAGAGAGAGGCACAGAGGTGAGGGTTGTGTGTATGGTACTTAGGTATAAAGTACGTATCTTTTTTCACAAGGAACACCCCCCTTTTCTGAAGAGATCCACTATCAGAGCACAGAGAGTGGATCTTCTCATCTCTACCCCTTGCCCCTGTACTAGTGCAAAGAGGGAGATGGATTGCTCCAAAGTGGTTCCCGATGGGCGGAGCTAGGCCAGAAACCAAGACCTTCAAATCTCGCCAGACCGGTGGAAGCAGGGTTAATTGCAGAAACTTGATGCCATGGCGGCCGGCTGTTGTGTTCATTGCGATTCCATCATCACTTTAATCAGATTATCTACTATCCAATATTTGCTACGGCCTTTTGCTCCATACCGATGCGTCAAGGAAGGAAAATTCTTGATAGCAGATCCCCCATGCAGAGCCTTTGCTATCCATACCTTGTGGAAGGAGGCTCAGGCTTTGGGGTCGGCAGATAAACTCTGGCGGGAAAAGGGGGCCGGGGGAGGCGTGCCTGTAGACGGCGAGCAAAGGAAAAAAAAAACACAGACTGGTTACTGAACTCGCTGGAGGAAATCCTCCTCCCAGAATTCCTGCCAAATAAGCAACCCACTGACTGCTGCAGCCACGACAGATTGAACAGACATACAAATGATCAGATCAGATAGACGCATGACACAGACGCTGCCAGCGCCAGCGTGTGTCTGCCTACGACCTGCCACCGTCAAACGACAACGACCTGCAAGTCGCGACACCATATCCACCGCAGCGGCATCTCACGGGGGTTCCTTCGACGCCGTAGCACATTGATGAGACCCAAGTTCCCAACTGAGTTGAGTAGCTCGGCGCCGTGCCAGCTGAAATACCTACAGGACTTGAGCCCAGTTTGGAATAGACTGTCTTTATCAACCCAACTTGAGAGACTAACATGGCAGACACCGCAGTAGGCACTTGCATTGGTAGCTTCACCAGACACCAACTCTACACGTATCACCGCACCGAATCTTCCATGGTGACGATGCCCGATGCTGGTGCTGCATGAGCGCTCAACTACAGTCTATAGAGTATGGAGTACACCACCTTCAATCTCAATTCTCCCTCTCTCTCTCTGTCTCTCTCTCTCTCTCTCTCTCTCACACACACACACACACTCACTCGCTCCCTCATCCAGGCTTGGCTTTGGTCTACAGTTTACACTACAGACTACGGATACCTTGGACTGCTGGAGGCGCCGGTCCGTCAATTCTTGGTCCCAGTTCAAGGTCTTGACCACACCCTCACCGGCCCTGGTCCCTGTCTTAGTTACTTCGTACCCGCAGCGTGCACCACGAATAGCAGCGTGATAATTGCCTTGACCCCCCTTCTTTCGGGTCATTCCTTGCCTCCTCTCTCTCTCGCTGTTGTTGTAACTTGTATGGAAAAAGCGGCGCAAGAGATACTTTTCCCACTCACACCCCCCTTCTCCAAAAAAGAGTGTTTCCCCTTCAAGCCACACCCTCCTGGGTCTTCCACTCTCTCTACCTGACTACGGATACGGATACCTCTATTACCCTTCATAGCGCCAGTCCACGCCAACCAGCGGCACCATTCAAAGTCCAGTCTCCTCCATCCCTTCCCTCCCCCAGACCATTTTCTTCCTCTTCCCTTTCCGTGACAGCTTCATTTCTGTTCGTTTTGACATTCAATTCCCGTCTCTCGTTCACTCCTCTGTACGCAACAAAAGGCTTTCGTGTCCTGCCTCCAACAACAAGCTTCCCTCTTCTACATCACCAAGAAAGAGAAGAACAAACAATACGTGGTACCAAGGTACGTGACTGTCGTGGAACGATACGGAAAACAAGACCCAACACGAGGAAGGAAGTCGCGGGCAAGAAGGAGAGCGGAGAGCGAGCGGCTGCCAATGCTCGGCAGGAAATCGGCATCCATTGCTTGCCGCGTCGTGGAATGCCCTCTTGCCTCCTCTTCACTTCCTCCTGCCCCAAAACACATTGCCCAATTCCATCACGTACCACCAGCCTCTCTCTCTCTCTCTCTCTCTCTCTGCCCTACGCCTCTTTCTCTCTCCACCGTCGGTCGCCTTACCCATCGTCGACATCTGGGGAAAAAGGAGTCACTCGCAGGTTCCTTCGGAAACACACAAGAAACACCGGAGCCCCATATCCAACTAATTCCTTTCTGACCTGCGGACGTCAACTTCCTTCACTCCCTTCCCTCCTCTCCCTCTACAACCAACGTCGAGCTTTTTGGAACACCGCTTCAGAGTTACCGACCTGGAGTAGACTCCAATCCATCAACGCTTCCATTATCTTTCCGTTCACACCACCATTGCGAGCCATCGACTCTTAGCAGATAAACTGACAACGAAAACCACAGCGTCCAAATCAATCACAATGTACTCCAAGCTCATCACCGCCCTTGCGGCCGTTGGTGCTGGTGTTGTCTCTGGTATGTTTTCCTCGAAGCACTACATCTCTCAAAATGTGCGTTTTTCTAACCGCAATACGCTATCTCTAGCCCAGAGCAGCAACATCTGCTCATCGGCTACCGTTACCATCACCGATGCCGCCATGGCTACCGCCCTTCCCTGCACCACCTTCACCGGTTCCGTCAAGATCTCCGAGGACATCACCGGCAACATCGATATCAACGGCCCCAAGACCATCAAGGGCGACCTGATCGTTACCAACGTCACTCAGCTTGTTGGCCTTACCTCCTCCACCCTCGCCTCCGTTGAGGGTATTTTCCAGATGCAGGGCCTGACCCTTCTCTCCGACCTGCGCTTCACCTCGCTCGCCACCGTTGGCTCTATCAACTGGGTCACCCTGCCCGCCCTCGGCTCCCTGGTGTTCGGTACCGCCGGTGTCACCAAGGTTAACGACATTCTCATCAGCGACACCTTCCTGAAGAGCTTGGACGGCCTGAACGTCGCCTCTGTCGACTCCCTCCGCATCAACAACAACAACCAGCTTGTTTCTTACAGCAACCAGCTGGCCAACGCCACCAAGACCATCGAGATCAACTCCAATGGCCCCGACTTGGGCATCACCCTTCCCAACCTTATCTGGGCTGGTGAGATCATCATTGCCGATGCCGCCAAGGTCCAGATGGACTCCCTCGAAGTCGTCAACGGCTCCATCAAGTTCGACAAGAACACCTTCACCGAGTTCATCGCCCCCAACTTGACCCAGACCACCGACGGCGATGTCTCCTTCATCAACAACGTTGAGCTCACCAACCTGTCTCTGCCCCTCCTTACCAAGACTGGTGGTGGCCTTACCATCCAGAACAACACCCTTCTCCAGAAGATTGACGGTCTCCCCAAGCTTAAGCAGATTGGCGGTGCCGTCCTCCTCCGTGGCAACTTCACTGAGTAAGTTTGTCAACACATTGTATTTTAGCGACGAATCTAACAATCATACAGGGTCGACCTTCCCGCTCTTGAGGACGTCAAGGGTGCCTTCGACACCCAGTCCACTGGCAACATTGACACCTCTTGCGATGCCTTCAACAAGATGGAGGGCCGTCAGATCCAGGGTGACTACAAGTGCCGTTCCAACAACACCAACGCCAACAAGGACGGTGACAGCAACGGCGGCTCCGCTGGTGGCTCCACCAACAACAAGGATGGCGCCGCTGGCAGCGTCGCCGTCAACACCGCCATCCTTGGCGCTGCTGTTCTTTTCGGCCTTACTCAGCTGTTGTAAACGACTGGCACTGGTAATACGGGCTCGGATAATGGTGGCGTTCTCCATACATCTTTCACTGTTTGTGCAATTTCTTTACAGCAATCCTGTCTTAACAGCTTGCGAAAAAAACCCACGCATTCCCTAGACTGGGAACCTCCTACGTATAGGAGAACCTCTAGACTTAATACTGGACGATGGGTGGAGATGTAACGGACCCTCGTCGACTTTTTACTCTCTTTTGCGTGACGAACCAAAAGCACCTACAGACCAACGCGTCGCGTCGTTTCTACCGCCATCATTCGATTCCGACCATGTCAGGCCACATATCCCGCCTAGACGATTTTGGGAAAAGGGCTCGGTCGAGCGGCATGTCGAGAGCTTGGATGATGGGTGGTTAAACACGGACAGTGGCAACGGCAGATACCTGGCGGAGGCGTGAGATTGATGGCGGACAAGAAGGCGATAGGCAACGAAGATAGAGAGGGCTGTAGTGTGTATTGAGGATCCATGATGTGTATACCTTTTTCTACTTTTTACGTTTCACTTGTCTTCTTCCTTTGAAGTGAACTGTCTGATGTGATGTAACGAAACGATCGGATATCACCTTTTCCCAGTATTATACTGATACGTTGAGTTCTTCCTGACGGCGATGTTATAATTATTTATGTCTTTAGAACGTATCTAAATGTTTGTAGCATATTTATCGCTTTTCATGTTCTACGTCATTGGTAGATACCCTTGTCGAACTTTTCCGTATCGAAGAACTTTGGCACTATGACATTGCCATTGAATACACGTCCATCGAGTTCATTGACTGCCTGTGATCGGGCCTCCGTGAGCAAAACTACTATTACAGAATGTGACCAAGGAAAGGGGGAAAGACTTACACGAAGGGCCGAGACTTGGTCCGTAAACCTGATAAAGACCTGTCTCCTCTCAACGTCGATGTATAATCGCTCAACTCGGCCGTACTGTACAAGTGTATGGTTAGCACACTGAATCGACTCCCAGAGCTCCAAGAGGCAAGGCCCTCTTCCTTCCCAAGCTTACCTTTTCACCGCACTCCTCTCCAATTTCCTGCCCCAATCCATTGGCAATCTCACCCTGCAAGTCTTCCATATTATCAAGCATGCGCTGCAGGACAATAACCTCGCTCATGGGCCCGCCAAATTTCTTGCTGCTGCTGCTGCCGTCAATCTCGTCCTTGCGTTTCCCACCAATGACCTTGGCGCGGTTCCCGGGCTCGGCCCACCCGCCGCCCTCGGCGTCCGACTTCTTCTTGCGCTTCTCGACTTGTACGCGCAAGGGGTTGACGATGCCGGATTCGTCCGCGCCGAGGCCGGAGCCCTTTGTCCAGCCGTATTTGCTCATGAGGCGCTGGGCGAAGCCGGCTTGGCCTGGGCGGGAGGAGCGCGGGGCGGGTTCTTCTGCTGGTGGTCCGGCGGTGGCGCCAAGGCCGAGGGTGGGCGGTGGGGAGTCTGGGTCTGAGGGGTCTGCTTCGTCTGCGGGTGGTTCTCTGGTGGAGGGGGTGTAGCGGACGGGGGCGCGGGATATCGTTGCTTCGTCGGTCGGTGGCGGAGGGGGAGGAGGTGCGGACGCGGAGAGGGCTTGGCGGCGGGCGTATGCGTCGTCTCCGGTTGCTGCTGCCGTGGCTTGCGGTTCAGCTGGCGGTGGTGAGGTTGGAGGCGGAGGGACGAATGAGTACTCGGCTGGAGGGGCGAACTGGTCTGAGAAGAAGCATGTAAGCATCGTGCCGTGCTCCCTGCGTAAAGAAGATGGGGTATGGGGGGGGGACTCACTCATCGCCGGCCGGCGCTCCGTCTCCTCATCGCTGTCATCGCTCAGGCTCTTACGTCTGCGGTGACGGTAGAGCAGCCTCTTCCACTCCTGCACCTCATGGATCCGCTCGTCGCTGCGCAGGTACTCCTCGACATTTGTGGGTTTCGTCGGGTCGTAGATGTCGTCCCAGTTGGTCTCGGCGGGCTGGTCGTTGTTGCCCTTCTTCTTCTTCTTTCTGCGGCCGCCACGCTGGTGGCTTCCGCCTCCGGAGCCCGCATTGGCGCTGTAGCGCCACGCGTCTTCTTCCGTCACAGCCCAGTCGGCGAGGGTGCTCTTTGGCGGCGGGGGTTGCTGGGCGGCTGTCGTCGTTGAGGATGCTTGTGCTGAAGAAGTTGCCGTAGCTGTAGAGGCAGCGGGAGCGTTCGCGCCGGGTATCGTCTTGGGAAAGTTTGGTTTCGGTTTCGCGGTCTTTGCTTGTGGTCTGCGTATGGGCTGGAAGCGGAGGGCTGCGGGAGGGAGGTAAGTTTTTGGTGAACCTCGAGAACATGGTTTAGAGAAGGGCGGCGGTGGTACATGGATCTATGGGCTTCTTCGCAGCCGTTCCGTCTTTCGGGTCGGCGACCGTGCCGTCTTGATTGTAGCGGACGGGAGCGCTTGAGATCGTGGCCAAGGGGTCGGCGACTGGGTCGAGGAGGTTTGCGTAGAGCGACAGGCCTCCTCGCGCGGGCGGAGGTGGAGGCGGCGGCGCAGCCATTGAGCTTGCTTTTGGCGCGATAGGGTAACTTTGAAGGATGAACGTCGTGGCCTGTCTTGGTGTCGAAGGATCTCGGAGGTGTTGTGCGTTGTGGGCGCGTGTCGGCGGCTGAGATTGAAGTTGTCGCAAAAGAGACGATAAGATTCGTTCAGCCTGGTTCGCAAGGCGAAGTCGAAGCTGCTGGGAAGCTTGCCGGATGGACCCACTCGTGGAGAGCGCACCTCGAACGTGCAGACCGTACGGAGTAATGTACCTTAGAGTAAAGTGCGAGGTGCCTGACGTAAAGAACGGATACGAATGCCTTAGGTAAGGCAATCAGCCAACCCACCGGTTCGCTGCCGTTCTTCCGTCCGTAAAGCGGAGCCCGACCGCCTGGGTTTCAGCACATCGACGACCGCTGGGCCACTGAAAACCCACCCCTGCGCGTTCCGGCACAGCGCCCAGCCCGCCGCGCAAGCGCATTTCCATGTTTCTTCGGGGGTCTTTATGGGGGACGAGCCACCGGTTGATCTGGGAAGGCGGGTTTTACAGTGGTCCAGTCGACTTCAGTGGGCAAAAGTGGCAGTGGGCTAAGAGAAAGCCGACCGGGGTGATCCGGCTTGTCCCAGGCTGGGCTGGTTCCGAGCACATCATCGTCCTAGTCAGGTTTCCCTATCAGTCGACCATTGTGCCTCAACTTTTGTTTCCAACGTAGTCTTGTATTCTACCTCTATCTCAGGTTGTCACCGTTGAACGGCTCACTCACATAAGCTCCCCGAGTATTCTAATTACCTACTCCAGACTCATCATCTGGGTTCTATCCTTGTCTGGACAAGTTCATCCGATCGTCCACCACCTCACCCTACCTTACTCCAAAAGCTTCTCCGAATTCGCTGGTGGTTGCAACTCTTCGACTGTCGTCCGGTCAGGCACAATCACACCCTGTCATCCAATAGAGTGAGAGATAAAACTCATCCGTTACGCCAACTACGCAAAGATGGCATTGACTCTGCAAACCGCCATCAACGGCCCGGCCAACTCCACGGCCGTCATTGTGCCGTCCAAGCCCAATGCTCTCACTGTCACCTACGGCGACCTGGTGAGGGAAACCTCAGCCTTCCAGCAGAAACTGGCTGCCATCGGCATCACAAAGGCCTCGCCCGTCTCCATCGCGACTGTCAACTCATATGAGTTCATCGTCTCCTTCCTGGCCGCCTCATGGCAGCGTGGCATCGCCGCGCCCCTGAACCCGGCCTACAAGCAGGACGAGTTTGAGTTCTACATTGAGGACGTCAAGTCCGCCATCGTGCTGGTTCCCAAGGGCGCCTATGCTGCCGGTGCGCCTGCTGTCAAGGCCGCCAAGAAGTTCAACGCCGCCGTTGCTGAGACGTACTGGGATGAGGCCAAGAAGGAGGTCGCGCTCGATGTCAAGGATCTGGGACAGCTCAAGGGCAAAGGGCCTGAGAAGGTGTTGAAGGCTGAGGTCGACGACGTTGCCTTGGTTCTGCACACCAGCGGTACCACCTCCAGACCCAAAGTTGTGAGTCGGAATCGGTCTACGGAGATTCAGAAAGTTGGAAAAGCTAATGCCATGTATAGGTCCCTCTTACACACCGCAACCTGACCAGAACGATGAGTAAGTCCAAGTCTCGCAAGAAAGGAGCTGAGACGTCAGGCTAACACCAATGATAGAGAACATCCAAAACACATACCAGCTGACAAGCGTGGACCGCACCATGCTGGTCATGCCCCTTTTCCATGTACACGGTCTCCTTTGCGGCCTCCTCGCACCTCTGGCCTGTGGCGGCTCCATGGTCGTCCCGAACAAGTTCTCAGCCACCGAGTTCTGGGGAGACTTCACTACCCACAAGGCCAACTGGTACACCGCCGTGCCCACCATCCACCAGATCCTCCTCAAGAACCCGACGCCCAGCCCGCTGCCCGCCATCCGCTTCATCCGCTCCTGTTCCTCCCCTCTGTCGCCCACCGTCTTCCACCAGCTCGAGGAGACGTACAAGGCGCCCGTCCTCGAGGCCTACGCCATGACCGAGGCTGCCCACCAGATGACCTCCAACCCCCTTCCGCCCGCGAAGCGCAAGCCGGGCACCGTTGGCCTCGGCCAGGGCGTCGACGTGCGCATCCTCAACGACGTCGGCGACGAGCTCGCACAGGGCCAGGAGGGTGAGATTTGCATCCGCGGCGAGAACGTCACAAAGGGGTACCTCAACAACGACGCCGCCAACGCCTCGTCGTACACGAAGGGCGGATTTTTTCGCACGGGCGACCAGGGCAAGAAGGACGAGGACGGCTACATTGTCATCACGGGCCGTATCAAGGAGCTCATCAATAAGGGCGGTGAGAAGATTAGCCCCATTGAGCTTGATAATGTCTTGACCCGCCACCCCGCCGTCTCTGAGGCTGTCAGCTTCGCCATCCCCGACGACATGTACGGCCAGGACATCGGCGTGGCCGTTGTTCTCAAGCCGGGGCAGCAGCTCAAGGGCGAGGAGTTGAAGGGCTGGGTGCAGGAGAAGCTGGCCAAGTTCAAGGTTCCCAAGAAGGTCTGTTGAAACACTGATGAGTTTTTACTGAAAATATTGCTAACAAGTCTCAGATTTACTTCACGGAGACGATGCCCAAGACGGCCACGGGCAAGATCCAGCGCCGCATCGTCGCCGAGAAGATGCAGCAACAAGAGGCCCCCAAGGCCAAGTTGTAGACCAGCCGATGGGTAGTCCGAGGAGATTTGGCCATGTTCATGGCAACGTAGACAATTGTAAGACGGTAGAAAGGGCATTCTCGTAGACTTACCTAGATCTGGCGTGAAAGACACTGTAGAGAGAGCAAGAGATTCCGTTGCAAGAGATGAGATCTTTTGTTTTTTTTTAGATACCTAGAAAGAAGATAGAATAGAGGGATTTCCAATATCTATAAGAACGCCCGCCACATATACATGTGACCTAATAACCATTATACCTATCCAACGCTTCGTGAACCTCACCAGGCATAGCCGAGGATTCAACGACCCATTGGGTTTCAATACACCATTTTATGATCACTTCGCATGCGTCAAAACCTAGGGGATCACTCCCCCTCCCAAGTAGCTCCAGGGAGGAAGAGGAAGATAGAGGAAACGTTTTCCCTTTAATCGTAGTGACCCCCCTCATCCAACTCATCATCAAGATCAGGATCCTCCCCCTCATCAGAATCGTAAAGCTTCTTCGGCTGCTGATCCCCCGCCTGCTTCTGCTGCGGCGGCGACGCAGACGTAGATTTCGGCACAATGCTCTTTGGCGTGATAGCGTGCACGTCAACCCAGCACGAGGTGCCGTGGGGCCCATGCCACCGCACAGGATCCCTATCCCGCGCAGCGGCGTCCGCAGCGGAGGGCTCTGGCATCCCTTCTCCGTCTCCCGCGCGGGATATCCTCCGCACCTCGGCGTTCGCGTCCGCGAGCGCGGCATAGACGCCCACGACGGATGTCGTGTTTGTAAAGTCGCCGTCGGAGCCGCCGTCGTTGTACATGACGAGGGCGATTGTGTGGGGGAAGTCGCGGCGGAAAGGGGGGAGGGCTGCGACTGAGGAAGTTGATGTTGTGGGAGCACGTTTTGCTGGTGGAGGGGTGGTTTGGACTGCGCTTGTTGCGGAGGCGTTGCGCTTGTGCGCTGATGTGTCTTCTGTGGAGGACATTCTTACTGTCATTTGCTTTCTGGGTGATGTGTGAGATTGTGGTGATGTATGGTGCGTAAGAAGGTTGATATGGAGGTTTTGTTGATGAGAGTTCGGGATTGAGTGTGTGATATGTAAGATGAGGTAAGGCAAGATATGTAGTTGTGAGACCTCTATCGGTGAGATGTATGGCTTGCAGATGAATGATGCAAGGGATGAATCTTTAAGTTTATTTGATAGTGGGTGTGTAAAGCTATGTAGTAACAGATCATAGGAAAAGTAAATAGATCCTCCCAGTTGCCCTTCCCAATCCTCTTTATATCAATGCCGGAATTCCCATCCCACGCAATTTGTGAATGAGTGATTATATGACTGATCCCAAGTGTCACTAACAAAGATACGGGAACTCGGTGGAGACCGCCCGCCCAACTCCAACTCCGCCCGTTTCGCCGTTTCGCTCTTCCCTCGGAGCTGTACAAGCCCGCACTTGCGCCATTGAGTCAAGGTGCGATAATGTCTACGCCGCTGCGCCGGTCAGCTAGGTAGGTAGCTCAGCAATTTGCTCGGCACTGGCCTGACATGGATCGATTCCAATTGCCTCGGTGGAGCGGGAAATGCATCACAAGACAGCGGGGTGGTCGGGGGTGGGAATCTGGGAAGGGGAAAGAAAAAGTCTCGGCTGGTCCGATGACCGGCGCAGGGTCCCCATTGCAGTTGTTCGCGCCGCCCGGGGTGGACAGAGGCTGAGAACTTGAGAAGTGCCCTGTGATGACATACTGCTTGCTACTGGGTACTCCGTACTGACCAACAAACTGGAACCTTGCCCCAGCTTCGGGGTTGAGCTCGAATGCGCGAAGTGCGCGAACCCGGCGTGAACCGACTGTAGCCAGCTGTTGCCCCGCTGCGGGCGAATGTTGAGGAGGGGCCTTTGATTTCTGGAGCCTTTTTACACAGTATTCTTTTCAATTGACATTGGGAAAGATGAAGGACGGGAGGAGCTCGGGAGCTGGCCCGAAGGAAGACGGGAATTTCGCCATTTTCGGGGGTAGGGGATAAATGTCCATTGGGGGGGAAAGCTGGAGCCGATGCCCCGATGGTACCGGGGGTTTGGGAATTGGGTGACTCAACAACACGACGAGGTTTCAACACCTTTATCTTAGTACCACACTCTGTACTTGTCCCGAATGTTTGACGGGAGTTCGTCTCAGTCATGCCAATTGTAAATCGACTTGGGCCCCGACCTAGACATTCTCAACCTGTCACCTGCGTGCGCTACCGTTGTCGGTCCCCAGTATTGAACTTTAGAGAGCTCCTATCGGGGTTCACAATATCTGATCGGACAATGGATTCTAATCCTCTTCCTCCCAACTCGTGATGAAAATACTACAATCGTCTCCTTCCGTTTCTTGGTCATCATAGTGTGCTTCTGGTTCCAGGGCCCTGCTTCAGCCGACAGCGAGACATATTTCGCCGGGAAAGCAGACCATCTCGTCGAATAAAACGATAGCAGGCTCCGTAGTCCCGTCTTTAGCTTTGAAACTCAAGGGCACGGGTGTGAATTTTCTTTCGGGGCCTGATCCATCGATAGTAGGAAGTCACCATACACTGCCTCCGTGGTCTCTATGGACGGCGGGCCTCAACCCGAGATTTACGACTGTGTATTACTGCTATGACTATATAGAAAAGAGGAATAGTCATAGACACCCTGAGAAGGCACATGGGCCGGGTAAGAGGGACACGGGATCTCGATAGAATCTTAATGTGATACGTCAAGCTTCAGCCACGCCACGAGGCGATATGCTTGCGAGCAGCATAGGCTGCAAGGTCCAGTGTACCATCAAACCCCATAAGTCGGGAGCAGCGTCTGACCACCGCACTGTCGTTAGCTGAGGTGCCATCCGATCTCTGGCAGAAAGGGAGCTCCGAGCTCAGGTTCCCAAAATGTCGAAAGAAATCATGTCATTGGTCCATAATTGAGTACACTTGAGTTTGCCTCGTCCCGTTTAACCATTCCCATTAAACTGTGTCCATCACAGTTTCACTGGCCAGAAGAGAAAACACACAAAGACCGACATGATACAAATCGCTAGTCCGTTTACGCCAGCCAAACAAAACAAGTCCCTTCCACATCATCAAGTCTCGGCCTGCTCTTCAGCAGCGACCCTGAGCTCGTAGTTGAGCTCGAAACATTCAGCAAGGAGCTCAGTGACGCTGCCCTGGCCTTCCGGGATATCATCGTTGATCATGAATTTTCCATCTTGGCGCATGTTGTCAATTGAGTTTAGCTGCGAGCGAATCATTAGTCCGGCTCGATCCATTGATAAAGCACAACATACCTTCATGCTGTAAGGGTACAGCTCTCTCACAGACTGCACGCCGCCGCTGTTCTTGACCTCGACGAGACACCGCTTGAGCGTTTGGAGCTGGTTGTAAATTGGCAACAAGGCTTCCGAAACGGGCTCTGACGAGATCATCAGCGAGTAGATGTAGGCGTAGCTTCTTCTGATAAGATAGAGCATCGTCTGCCGCACCTGTCAGTGGAGCTCTGTAGAAATTTGGATTCGTTTGACTTACACGCTGAGCGTAGAGCTCTGCAGGCTTGCCCTCATCATCCACCCAGTTGCCATCGATTCTGCTCTCGTCGATCTTGTCCAACTGTCTCTGGAAGTCAAAAAGATCCGCTTCACGGAGGGACCATGCTTGCGTGATTGAGAGTTTCTCCAGCTCGTTGCGAATGCGGAACAAGATGTCGTATGTTGGCTTAAAAGAGTCGGGAATCACTCCTTTCCTGAGCAACAGTTAGCGACGTTTTTGTGGGTGACGGCGTATGATGTACCTCTGAAGAACGAAATCAGACCACAGCAGGCATTTCTCCAGCAAAGCGGTCACCTCGTCGAACCCGCCCGGTGTCTTTCCATCCGAGGTCAACAACTTGCCCTCCTGTCTCTTCTCCTCGATCTCTCTCAATTGGGCTTGAAGCTTCTGGACTTCCGATGGCGAGAACTGTATCACTGTCAGTCATGTCGCGTCGCGCACCTCTTGATGCTGGCCATACCTTTGTTCGTGTGTTTGCCAGTGACATGGATCTTAGGATAGAGATCAGTTTCTCATAAGTCTTCGGCAGGGGGTCCTCGAAACGCTCCAATCGCTTTCGGAGGTTCGCCAGAGACTTGTCACAGAGCTCCAATCTGTTGGAAAGCAGGGTGATGAGGTATGGGGGGTAATCGGTCTCGGTGGCCTTGACATTTTGCGCAAGCTTTGTCAGGGTGTGTGAGATGCTTTCCAAGTCCTTAATGGAGTACAAGTCGACTTCGGTGAGGTGGTCTAACAATCTTCGGATAGTCGAAGTCAGGGCATAGGCGGCTGGAGCTTCGTTGTTTCGTCCGATGGTCATGAAAAAGAGCGACAGTAGCTGAAAACAGCTCTCCAAGACTCTGTCCACTGCAGCGCGGGTTAGCCGTTGACCCCGCACAGTCGGGACGATAGCGCATTACCTCTGTTCTCCTCCCTTCGGTCAGACGTCCGGGCCTCGTTGAGCAGGCGAACCTGCTCGATCGTCTCCTCGTACAGCGGGAGAACATCCTGGCTTCGAATATAGGTCGTGCGATCCTGCTTCAAGAGCAGAAGTCTGTCGCGGATTGCGACTAGCTTGTCGAGAATCTCCTTCTCGCGGTCGTCCCGCGGCGGGGGGCACGTAGGGGTATCCATCTCGCGTGACGTAATTCAAGATGGACGTTGGTTGCTGGGAGGGTTGTAAAGCTGGAATATGGGCGACTGCCGAGTGTTCGAGATCATGGACGGCCAAGGCATGCACCTCTTGCGCTGGAAGTCGATACCGTTGCAGGTCTGCCAATGATCCAACATTCAACGAAGCACGATAGCGGGGCTAAAGGTGATTCACAGGTCGGGACGGGAAGCTTAAGTCCGATCGTCGGTAGTGTAGGTAGTTCCCCGGTGCACTGGGGGTTGTTGGTGTTGGTGAACAGAGTTGTATTGGTAAGGAAGCCTGTGACAAGAATGGGCTGCCGTGGCATCCGCAGAAGATGCGCAGATAGGATTGCGTATGTAAGTAAAATGCGGATGATGCGCTCGTTGGCTTGGCCGGAAACCAATGGAAAGGTGCACCTCAACCAGCGACGCTTCTGATAGAGAAGGTGGGGGTGACTGACCTGCTTGGAAAGTCAAATCGAGGTATCAATGTGGGGCATGACCCAAGTGTCACCGACGGCAGCGGGGCAGGCATGCCCAGGTCGTCGATCCGAGATCCTATTGGCTCGCCCATTTATCCAATCACAGATCTTGAAGATAGACCCACCACTGACGGGCTTTAACCGAAACCGCCGAATGTTCATTAGGTCTTGAAAGCCCTGCCAAATTTTGACTCGGTGGATGACCTCGCGATACCATATTGACTGCTCCTTTGCAAATCACACTCACCATCCGCGAAGACAATCTCCAGTCGCAAACGCCCAAACCAGTCAAAATGTCGAACGCCGAGCTCGCCTCTTCCTACGCGGCCCTCATCCTCGCCGATGATGGTGTCGAGATCACTGTGCGTCCGCCCTCGAGTCACCCCGCCACGAAAAAATAAAAATCACAAATAATACCAAAATACCACGACAAGACCCGAGACTAACAATGGTGGAATTATAGGCCGACAAGCTCCAGACCTTGATCAAGGCTGCCAAGATCGAGGACGTCGAGCCCATCTGGACCTCCCTGTTCGCCAAGGTACGACGCGACGACGATATTTTCCCATCGATTCGAGGAAGGACAATTGAAGGCTGATTCGAGATTCACATAGGCTCTTGAGGGCAAGGACGTCAAGGACCTGCTCTCCAACGTTGGCTCCGGTGGTGGCGCTGCTGCCCCCGCTGCCGGCGGCGCTGCCGCTGGCGGTGCTACCGAGGCTGCCGCCGAGGAGGCACCCAAGGAGGAGGGTACGTTATTCCCCCCAGATACACCGGGTCGAGTTGTGCGTGAACGAAATACTGACACCCGCTACAGAGAAGGAGGAGTCCGACGAGGACATGGGCTTCGGTCTCTTCGACTAAGCGATTTTCCTGCGACGATTTCCTTCCCTTTGTAACTTCAACTGCATGGATCCGGGGGTTCTACGATTCGCGCGATCATAAAGGATTGGGTGGAGGCACGATATCCTGCTGCCTGGACAGAGTAGCTCTCATACGATAATGTGAAGACGCTCTCTACGCGGAGTTCACTGGACATCCTCAAAAAATGAAAGTGGAATTTGGCATGCTTTGAAAATACCGGGACCCGCGCGGTGATAGGAGTGAGCCGCGGACGTCGACATGATACACCAGCCTAGCTTGAGTTGGAATGGCTTATGACTCTCAACCCTGGCTTCTTGAGATTGGTGACTGTGATTGCTTCTCCGTCGCAAAGCAACGCCTATACGGGGTAGTCGGCTTGTGCATGTCACCATTCCCCACGTCATAGGCATGTCCCAATCAGGATGTGGTCGTGAAGTAGAGTCCGGCACAGTCTTGCTTCATGTTCAGTCTTGGGTAAGGCATCGTGCCTGTCGATGATGTCCACGATCGCTAGTGCTCATTGATATCTTACCGTGACACAACTAGTATATATCAGATTTGGTAGCCAAGGCCTCGATATTACGTCTTGTTTATAACCATCGAGTATCTACGTGTCACTCAATTCCGGTACGCAGTTCATACAGCCCCACCACTCATAATACTATGCAGCATATACTCTATTCAACACTTGAGTCGTCCATGATCCCACCGCGGGCCTTGCTGGGTCCCAGCTTACACTCCTTTCAACTTTGGTTGGATGTAGAAGTGGTGGGGTACACGCATCGACGGGCAGACTGCGGAAGGACATCGTTTGCAGTTACTGTTCTCGGTTCTCTTTACTACTCAATGGGTGTCTTTTAGCTAACCCCCTGACATCCTCAACGCCATCATCTAATGCAAACCTCCGTGATCCCCAGTTCTGTCGGCGCTGGTTGCTCCGCGTCTTCCCGCTGAACCAGGTACCTCCGGTCCTCTCTCATCTCCAAAAATGCTCATTTGACAATGAGAACGGCGCTGGGAGTGAGTCCTGCCTCCTTCAAAGTCTTGCTGAGATCCATGTGGCCCTCGAACGTCTTGCGAGGGAACGTGGTCGAGAAGCTCGTGACTGCCGTTCCGGTCTCGGACTGAAGCATTTGCGCCACCTCGAATAGCGTGGTCTCAGCAGGCAGGGTCTTGACGACATTGCCGCCCGCGGTCTGTAGGCGCAAGCGAGCCTCGTTGTGGTTGGCGACCGCCTTCGGGGCGGCAGGCGCGGCGGCGGCGGCCGGAGCCTCGGGAGCTCTTCCCTCTCTCGCGGCCTTGGCCTCCTCGGCCTTGCGGCGACGCTCCTCCTTGTCGGCCTCAATCTTGGCCTTGATGCGGCGCTTCGCCTCGATGTCGTCCTGCTTCTCCTGGCGCTTCTTGGCGGCCTCTTTGATCTGCTCCTTGCGCGCCAGCTCCTCCTTGGCCTCCTGGGTCTCCTTTGTGGCCTTCATGCGAATCTTCTCATTGCGCTTGGCGTCCTCCTTGTCGAGGAGGGCCTGCTTTGCCTTCTTCTCCTGGAGCTGCTCCCGGAGCTGGATGAGCTTCTCCTTCTTCTGATCCTCTGTCAGAGGCGCAATCTCCTCAGTAGACTCCGAGAAGTCGGTGTGATCGCTAGCATTTGGTGTTAGTACTCAGCACTTTCCGCACGTAAAGGCGATTCAGGTGAGATTAACAGAATTCAATGAGACCGGGGAATTTTCTTGTGATGAGAGCAGGAACACTGATGGTAATTAAACTGCAGTAACTCACGTCTTGGAAGCATGGTATGAGGCAGTGTCCTGGGACCTGAAGCGCTTGCCACACTCGTTGCAGACGAGAGACTTTGCCGTACCGCCGTTCTCAAGAGCCTCGATGTTGGCTTGGACTTCAGCGGCATCATCGTCGTCGTCCTTGTCGGCCTCAGTAGCGGCAGAAAGTTCCTCAAGGGGCTTGTCCTGGTTGGTCTCGAGCCACTCGAGAGCTCCGTTCACTGTGATCAGTCAGCAACACCATCTCACACTTATTTGTGATGACAATGAGTTGTAAATTGTCAGCCAGCAAGGGTACTCACGGTTTCCGGTCTTCTTCACGGCAAGCTCAGCCCGGGCCTTCTCAAAGCCCATGTCGAGGAGCTGGTCGAGATCTGACTGTGTCATTTTGGTGGATAGTGGTGGCGGATGGCGGGGTTGTTTTTTCTTGGGTGGTGAGCTGGATTTGTCTGCTTCTATGAGAACAGGAAATCTGTAAAAAGAGTGTGTGAGTGGTGTGTGAATGACGGTTTGTATCCTCCTCAGCTTAACTATCGGAGATGAGTTGAGTTGTGAATAAAATTTGGTTGTATTCCCGTTGCTGTATGAACAAAGCTGGCACGGCAAGGCACAGTTGACTGGTTGTTTCCTGAGACGTCATCTGCAGGTGCCTTTTCCGATGGGAGCTGTGGGTAGAGGGGCGGCCTCAGTGGCTGGAGCGCGGGAGGGACCGACAACACGGACACTGGAGCTCTTCATTCCTCGGGCTTTGTCAGGTCAAGTAGGTAGATAGGTACCTATTTGATCTTCTTCTTTCTCTTTCCATTCCATCTTCGGATTCTGTCTTCCGCTAATGATCCAATCCGGTTTGTCCACAGCTGTCAAGACAGAAATGATTCTCTTATTCTATATGAAGACAGAAGACCAGTAGGTCGTCGTCGACGGAGCCAAGTACTGTCATGGTACCTGGTATAATTAGAAGCGCCACATGAAGGGGTCCCTTCCACTTTTTAGTGGATGAACATGATCAATCAAACCCCCGGGCCCGGATTAACCACCCCTGCCCCCAATTCTCAAGGGAAGCTCTGAGTGGAGGCCCGAGGCCCCAGAGCGCGACTCCGATTGACCGTCCGCTAAACTTGTAAGGGGGCACTGGGGGGCTAGAGAGTCTAGAGTGTACCTTAATGAAACCTGGCCTGGACTGCCCGAGGACTGTGAGAGGAATTGGTTTGCCCAGAAGCCGGACTTGGTGTGCACATCCTCCCTATCCCAATCGAGTCCAGCCCAGTTTGCCCGTTGGCTACCTTAGTACCTTGCCGTGGTGTGTATTACGTCGTGGGCTCTTGCGTGCGAAACACCTGCTTTTTTGCCCGTACTTCGTACCCGTCCCGAACCGTGGTCAATTACCCTGTTCGCCTGCTTTGCCTTCCTTACCTTACCTTACCTACCTTACCACAGGTTCCCTCCTTACGTTCGTACTCTTTCAAGAATCCTTGACCTTACCTTACAATCCATCGACTTTTCTAATATCGCCCCGCGCGCAACACTCCTTCGACACCGTCTCACCCCCTCTCACATTTATCTCGCAAATTCTTTTCTTCCCGTTGCCCAGGCCGAGGCCTGTTTCGATTGCGCCGCATTCTCCTAATCTACTCTACATCACCATAAGCTTTGCACCCACCCAAGCCCACCATGTCGGTCGAAATCGAGCCCACCGAGCTGAGCTTCAAGCGTACGTCCCTCCTGCGCACATCCCATGCGGCATCGTACTGACGTTTGCCTCCTTTCCAGGTCCCTTCACTGTCGAAGTCGCTCGGATTCTGCGGATCAAGAACCCGAACCAGTCCCCCATCGCCTTCAAGGTATGCAGCCGCCCAATCCCTCGGCTGTCACGTCACCCTTTGCTCACAGAACTTGCGACTAGGTCAAAACCACCGCCCCGAAGCAGTACGATCCCTTGCATCCCGTGCAGCCTTCGTAAGCGACTGACGACATATCCAGGTACTGCGTTCGCCCTAACTCGGGTCGTGTTGAGCCTGGACAAGATGTCGAGGTTACGGGTAGGTGCTTCGCGCAAACGCCAGGTGGTCACATGTCACTAACAGCATTCAGTCCTTCTCCAGGCCATGAAGACAGAGCCAGCTCTCGACACCAAGTGCCGCGACAAGTTCCTGGTCCAGTCCGTCTCCATCACCGCTGACAAGGAATTCGCGAGCATTGCCAACATTGTAGGAAACCCCCACATTGACTCTGAAGTTCTGGCGCACAAGCTAATCAAGCGACTGATATCACAGCTCGACCAGACTGACAAGTCTTCTCTCATCGAGCGAAAGATCCGCGTCAACTGGCTCAACGCCGAGGACACATTGTCCCTCAATGGTGGCAGCGCTTCTGCTGTCGCATCCACACCCAATCGCCAGTCCGTAGTTAACGGCGTACGTTCTCCGGCAGCTCGTCGACTCTGAAACGAATCACTAACAAATCGCAGGACTATACCCCCGATGTCTCCAACGTCTACTCGTCTCCCCAGCAAGATGCGGATTCCGGCAGCCCTGCGCCTGCTCCCCGACCGTCGACCTCCGATGTGAAGGACGATACCGTTTCTGAGAAGGCCCAGTCTACAGTCAGCGCTGCGAGTCACGTCGTTGCCAATACCGCCCAGGTCACTTACGAGGAGCTGAAGCAAAAGCTTTCCCAGGCCGAGGCCAAGATTGCAAGTCTGCAGGACACCAGTGGTCTCCGGCAACGCGTCAAGACCGAGACGGAGAAGCTCCCCACGGCCCAAGAGGCTGCCGCGGCAGTGCGGCAGGGAGCCGAAGGTGTTTCGGTACAAATTGTCGCTATTTTGTGCTTGTTCAGTTTCCTCCTTGCTTACTTCTTCTTCTAAACCATTCTTGGTATTCCCCGACAATTCCCCTTTACACGACCTTTCTACTGGAGGACTTATGAAGCGCGCTAAGTAGCACTGGGCTGAGGCAGCATTGCCGGTGACGCCCTTGTAGTTACTTGCCAAAAGACAATGGCACGATGAGCGGAAGTGTGGCGACGCGGTGAGGTGGATGGAGAGGTGGACCATCGACAGACATGGAACGGAGTCAAATCACATGTAACCATAAGGATTCTTTTTGTCGTAACGGCGTGGCGTCCCGGACGCGAAGTAGTTGATTTCAGAGACTGATCTCATGACGATTTCCATCTTCCAGTGCAGTGTGACATCAACGTAGCGCCCCTAGGAGCTGCATTTTAAGACCAGAGCAGTATATCTGATGGTACAGAACTAGCTAGACAGGAGGTTGGCGTAGACGAAACCTATCTTGCCCTTGTTCAGATTCAGGCTACATGGCATTATGAAAGCCGCCATGCAGCATTGTCGTATATCTAACAATCGCTAAGTCTCATCAAGATCCACAGCCACGAGCTTGGAAGCAACGGTGAGCACTAGACAACCTAGCCTATGATGCAAAGGAATATGATCGGAAGTGCCTCTTTTTTAACGCCGCAGACCCAGAACCCGAAAGACTCTGGTCGACGTACCGTACTTTCTTCTCGCCTTTTTGTCACTGAGGCTATAAACTAAATGGATTGGAAGAAGAAAGAGGAGCCTGGAGTCAGGTTCCTTATCTAGCGTACAACCATCTGAGAAAAAGATTGTACGTGACAAAAGCCAGGCAGATCATGATCGTTTATTCCAAATTTCTTTTTCGTCTGTGTCCTGCCCTTTCCTACTGGAGACCTTGAATTTGTTTTGAAGTGTTCTATCATGTATGTCACCCGGTAGCAAGCATAGCTTCCGTGGCGACTTGGTATTCTGACAAAACTTTTCGGCGTTGTGTCCAACGTAGGTTGCGTTACCTTTGTATTCCAAGAGACATGGATAGAAAAAAAAGATTTAGGTCCAAATATTTCGTATTTCCACTTGATGTTTCATTAAACTTTCGTCATATCGAAAGAGGGGGTCTATCATCCATAACCCGGGTTCGTGAGCTAAATATATATAATGCCACTTATTCATCAGATGACTTTTTCTTTATACACAGATTTCGTCTTCCAAATCGAAAACAACCCATACTCCTTTCTCTCTCTCCCTCTCTCTCTAGTCCTGTTTTCCCTCATGCCTCAATCTCCTCGCGCGTCCAGTGGGCTACGGCACCGCCGCCAACCTTGCGACCGCCCTGCTTCCTCTTGACGCGGGAAGTGATGCCGACGTTGGGGTCGAGAATGAAGCGCCAAATGACATAGGTCCAGCTCTCGTGGCGGGGCAGCTCATCGTAGAACTCGCTGGCGATGGCGCGGAGCTTGGGCAGACGGGTCCAGGGGACGGCGGGGAAGTCGTGGTGCTCGTTGTGCAGGCCGACGTTGTAGGTCAAGAAGTTGAGCGGGCCGTAGTAGGAGAAGGTCTCGGGGACGGGGATGTTGTTGGCGGCGTCGCGCTGGGCGGGGGTGACGGTCTCGTAGACGTAGTGCTCTGCGATGAAGTGGCCGGCGAGGGGGTGGAGGGAGCCGGCGAGGAAGGAGGAGAGGAGGAAGTAGAGGATGGTGTTGAAGCCGAAAGCCGAGTAGAGGGCGTAGTCGAAGGCGAGCTGGACGGCGATGTTGAGGTAGTGGACCCAGGTGAAGGGAACGCTGTAGACGAGGGTCGGGCGGACGGCGTAGAAGAAGATTTGGAAGGTACAGAAGAAGGCCTTGCCGAGGATGGAGTCGAAGAAGACGACTTCGAGGGCGGTGGGGAGGTCGGTGTCGAGGCCGTCGACGCCGAGGGACTTGTGGTGCGTCAGGTGGTAGGGCTGGAAGGTATGGATGTCAGTGATTTGTTTGGTATCTGGGGGAGAAGGGGTTTGCCATTGGCAGCTACTGAATACTTACACGGAAGGAAGCGCTGTAGGGCACGCCGATGGGCAGGTTAACAAAGATGGCGAACAGGCGGTTGGCGAGCGGGGAGCGGAAGGCGAGGTTGTGGGAGATTTCGTGGATGGCGAGGAAGAGGTTCTGGTTGGCGGTGGCGCCGAAGACGTAGCCGACGAGCCAGAACTTCCAGGAGAAGAAGGAGGTGTCGCGGAGGTACCAGGCCCAGAAGATTTGCATGGCGACGACGCCGGCGACGACGTACTTTGTCAGGGGCTCCGGCCCGCAGAGCTTGGTGACCTGTTGATGGAATTGTTAGTCATTTGGCAGCTTATAGGCAAGACATTGGCCAGTGCTGTAGAGCATTGCTGTTCGTGGACTGAGAGAAAGGGGTATGCGGAAGCTTGTGTCGTGCCGTCAAGTAAAGTGACATACCTCCGGATGAGCCTTAATGATGGCGAGTCGGCGGGTTCGGTGTGGTTCCTCGGTGTAGGTCCAGAAGAAGTCCTTCTCTTTGGAGGTTTCGGTCGGCGCATCGGTCGTCAGCTTACCGGCGGCGACGCCATCGGGCGCGACGGCGGACTTGCGCTTGGACGGCTGCGTCACGGTTGAGGCAGCGGACGAAGCCATTGTGCTGCGGTGTTTGAAGGGGGGTTGACGGTGTTGGTGCTTGTTCGTGGGTGTCGTGTTGAGGTGTGGCGCGCGCGGGCAGTTGTATCGAGAGAGGGGAAAAAAAGGCCGATATCAATCTGTCCTGACCCAAGAGAGAGACAGAGAGAGGAGGGGCGAAAAGAGAACCAGTGTCGAATCAGCTGCTCTGGGACATTTAATTTATAAAAATGTCCAGGTCTCGAGAAGAAAGAGTGTGTCCGTGAGGAAACGAGAGTTTTTCACCGAGCGCACTTGTCAATGAAAAAGAGACGAAAAAAAAAAAAAAAAAAAAAGTCTTGTGTGTGTTTCCCCCTTTGCGCAACAGGAAATGGAGTGTTGGTGGGAGAGAGATCATGCCTCGAAAATGGTAAATCTCCTGATGGCGGGCTGTTAGAAGTTAGGGGTTTGGGAGAGGTACCTAGGCATGGGGGTGTGTGTCCCTTTCCGAAGCGGTCAAGCGGTGTAACAAGGTCGCCTCCCCAGGTACCGCATTTCTGCATTGCTGCTCTTTCTGCGGTCTGCTTTCCATCTGTTCTCTTTTCTGCAACCTGTGGCGCAGCGGATATCCATGGATCAGTGGGGGGGTTGCTGGAATGAAAATGGAATGGCCCATAGGGGTCCCCTTCCTTGCCCCGCTGTGGCCAATCGTTCAGAACATGTGTTTTATGGTTTCTGGCTGCATGGCACCTCTCCCACCTATCCGTACCTTTCCTTCTTTCTCTCTCTCTCACCTCTGTATTCCGTACGCGGTTAAGATGGGCTTTGGCAGAACTCCCTCTAGCTGTTGGTGGCTGAGAGGAACAAGGATTTGCTGAAAAATTCTCTGGTTTTCTTGAGACGTTGTTGGGGGCCATTGGGGGAGATTTGGGGAAATCCAGATCCTTCATTGAATCCCCACACACCTCTTTCCCCTTCACTCTGATATGCGCTGCGTGGCTGCCCCCCTGTCCGGCTTGGTTGCCACTTGTTGCACATCTCGACCTTTTCCATGCCGTGCAACACATCCAAGCTATCCGTAAGGTCAACCAAGATGATGGCCATGCTCCATCTTGCAAGTTTCAAGGTATCACAAAGCTGTATTTTTTTGTTTTCGTCGCCTACGAGAAGCCAGTGGCGATGATATCGCAGTGCATCACTTGACCAGCTCTGTTGTGGTATTCGTACGCCCTTTCTGTCGTGACTAGTCCTCTGCCGCTCTGATGCGTGAGAAGATGGGATAAACCGTGCTCTCCCAGGTCTAAATCATGTATATCTTGCTTTGTACCTCGCGTGGTCTTCTCCTGGACAGGTACGGGTATCTCACATCACACACCCGATGCGTGCGCGCAATGCGTGTTTCTGCGAGCAAGAGCATGATTGAAGAGCATCGCCTCCGTCTGGGATCCGAAGTCGAGCGAGTGTCCGTGGTGTGTGTATGTATGTAAATCGTAACTTTGTCCAGTATGACATGGGACGGAGGCTTTATGCCGAAGCGAACCCCACGTTGTCTTCTTTTTTTTTTTCTCCGTGCCAACTTAATCGGATAGGATTGCCGCGGGCCGTCAGAGACAGAGTGCTCTCAAATGGCCGCATCGTTACATTGGTCTACTAGATTGGCTCGTTCAACGCGCCGTCCTTGCTCCTTTTCATTTACCCGCCATATACGACTGCCGTATAGCCAGAGAGTTTCTGCCCATCGAGCAGGTCTTCGGAGGGAGATGGACCGCAAGAGGGGGTTGGAATGGTTGACATAAGAGGGAGTTAAAAGAACGATATTGGCATCATGATGGATTTAGACTCGAACTCTTGCACCCGCGGTGACAATCATACTTAGCTTACGAGTATCCCGAAAGCAACATCCTAACCAAAGAGCAACGTTTCAACAATGAGATTCGCCCTACTCGCCACGTCCCTGGCCTCCCTCGCCGGCATCGTTCTCGCCAAGCCTGAGAAGATCAGGGGCGTAACCGACCCCGTCTACCACTTGTACCTTCAAGCCTATCCCAAGGACAAGTCGATCCCCGTCCTGGGACCTGAGGCATCGGCGGAGTTCTTCAACATTGCCGGAACTATACAGAGCGCCAACTCGAGCTCGTATCTCAACTTTGGCAGCGATGCTACGTCGTACAAGACTCTTCAGTTGAGCAACGCCTCCGGCACCAGCGCGTGGGGTCTCGAAGGGGATACTATAATTACCACCCAGAGCAGTAGCTGGGGACGTCGTATGTGGTTTCTCGTTCACCACGATTATCAAGCTTTCCTTCGTGATTGTTCAGAAATGATGCTCACTAACACCTGACAGAGTTGAACTTCTTGGTGTGTCAGCTGGATACAAGCTACTGGCAACTCTATCTTCAAACCGGGAGTGATGTGCCAACTGGGAGGAACTGCAGCAACTATCAGACGATTCATCTGCCGTGCCTCTGCTAGATGGGTTCGATCTGAGATCGGGTCCGTTACACAGGGAAGAGGAGCTGAACGGGCGATGTCTAGCTACGTTGCATGTAGATAATCGGTGGTCGTCAGAACTAAAAGTCGCGGAAATTGCTTTTGGCAATGGATCATCAAACGAAGGGCTAGCGGTTGAAGAAACAATGCTCCCGAGGCACGCGTCTTTGTGCGACTTACAATGCTTGGTTTTAGTGCTTGGCATCAAGGAACAAGGAGACCGTTGGATATCATCCAGTGAATGATGCAACTTGACAAAGGGTCACACGGATTGTTCTTACTAGACTCTCCGTCAACCTGACGGACGCTGGCATTTGTGACCTGGATGTTTGGTTTGTGCAATGACTTCCATGGACTTCGAAAATAGGCATCTGTTACAGCGCTTTCCTGTTGCAACGAATAATAGACCAGCATCTGGCGTCAAAAGCGGCGATGTAAGTAGTTGATGTCTAGAACAGACCTAAAAACAAATTCATCGAGGGTAGAATGCGAGTTCTTGAAAGCAATATGGAGTTCAGATGTATCAAGAGCCAGAGGGCAATTATCCGACATTTACCTAGAGTTAAGATGTGTTAAGTAACTCAGAGGTTACGCCAGTCCGGCAAAGACATAGAGGTCAAATTTGGGTACAGGCCCGGAGATATTGAGCATCGACTACGAGCAAAGTATCGTCGACTGAACTGAGAGTACCATGCCCACAGCTATCTCAAGAACCCCGCTTTGGTCCGAGGCACGTCAAGATGAGATGAACCAAGACCAAAACCTCTCAAGCTTCAACTGGGCATGTTAATTTGGCGCTGAAGGATAAAGATGGTCTCTAAACCATTCATGTGATTTGCAGTAGCTTCATATTGTGATGACTGGTTGAGTGAGGTTGAGGAAGAGACATATCGAAGAGGGGGTTCCCCATGATTGGCTGTCACATGCAGATAAGTCAAGCTCTCAAGTCCAGACTGGCAGATGGGGAAGAGCAGAAGGGACCAGGGCAGGGATGGCACCAGAGGGGGCTAGAATGGCACCAGCACCTCTTCAAGTGGAGGCCGACCGTTTAGCTGCAGGGCGCCTCTGCAACGCTGCAATAACCGCTGCAATAATACTAAGAACTTGTCAGCTTGTCAGGCCTTGGGTAGGCTGGCCCTGCTGGGATTCCCGGACTTGAAGAAAAGATGGGATGGACTGGACCTGCGTTGCTAATCTGAAGTGGGATCGAACCAGCCCAGCGCGGCACGAGAGAGAAACGATAGGGGCACGCGACCTGGAAAAGACACCCACTGATTTACTCGTGATTTTTTTTGGTTGTGTTCCAAACGGTGGCCGTTAGTTCCTCACTCTTTGTGCATGTGAGGTGTTGCATGCAGTCTGTGGCCTTATGTCTCGCAGATCATGATGTCTCATTTCTGCCTGCCGCAGCAAAGTGGACCGCCGTCACCATTCTTTCCTTTCTTCTACTGAATCAAGGCAGAAATTAGACAGAATGAAGTAACTACTACGTAGAGAATTAAAGATGGGAGGGAAAGCTTGGGCCTTGCCACATCAGCCTGAAAGCTGCAGCTTCACCGCCCATGGGCTTAAAGTGTTTAGAGAGGTTCGTTCCATCGTCCCTCCCAGACGGTACCTAAACCCAGGCATTTTAGCAGCTACCTAAGGTACGGACACCTTGAGCCTTGAGGTAGCGCCACGTGAAGATAAGAGCGTAGGCGAGCAGAATCGCCTTTAACGATAAGCCCAAGCTCCCACCTGTGGTCCGCTTCCTGCCACCTCGCCCAAAAATCTACCGGCAGGTTGACACTTTGGTTGGTTTTCCCTTAATCACCCAGGTTTCTTTCCCGACCGTCGGACCTGGACCGACTTCGCACCTTCTCTGCTTCAAGTTGGATGCCTACCAATTTTCAGCAACAGAAGACTCTGACAATAGCCTCTGAATACCTCTGCCGAGTTCCTACCCTCGAAACCAGCGAAACGAGACGATCCACCTACGCCCTGATACAAACACCATTCACGGTCCCCTCACCGTCTCGCGTGCTCTCCACCACCAAACTAATAAGCTCGGCCCTCTCCAAGTCTGCGACGACATTTACGAGCGCCTCTCTCTGTCGCCTCCCTCGACTGTTCGCGACTACGCCGACTCGCCGTCCAAAGTGGCCGGCCATCGTCAGATACAAACCCCTCTGTCGGCGCGGCTCCAGCAAGCCAGCTCGTCGCGCCGATGTGGTGGTTCCTCCGAATCGTCGCCAGTGCCATCTTCCTGCTGAGCATAGTCCTCTCCATACCCGTCGCCTTCGATGTCGGTGGCAGAGATAGTGGACTGGCCTACAGTCTCGCCCTCTCCGCCTTCTACTTTGTCTACTCGACCATCGCCGTCGTAACCCCCGCAAAGTCACGCGTTCGCTGGGCCCTATCCGTCATCCTTCGGCTCTCGCAGTGGGTTGTCATTCCCGGACTTTTGATCTGGGCCCTCAGCCGCTTCGCTGTCGATGCTGGAGCTACAAACTGGGTGGAGCGGACGTTGCAAGGCATCACCACCTCCAAGTCGACGTCATGGGGCGAGTGGGTGTTTGGCGAGGGTGGTGTTATTGAGACCATAACCTTGGGCGGCTGGGATAAGACGTTGAGGTACTCAAGTCCGGTCTTCCAGCTTCTGGAGGGATTCTGCACTCTGCTTGTTATCCAAGCTGCCGGGCAGATCACCAAATGGCTCGTCAACAGAGGACGAAGCGACACTTGGATCGTACGTGGAACCCCTCTCCTGTGCCCCGACTCTGTGAGACCCAAGCCGGTCACGAACAGCCTGGCCATAGCCTGGTCTCACAGGTTCGGATCGCAAACTTTGGCTTTTGCGAGACTTACTGACGGCTTTGACAGATTATCCTGCTCGTTATCTCTGGCAGCGTGCTTGCGAGTGCCGTTTACTTCCTCTGGCGTGTCGCCCACTTCCCTTGGATCGACAACTCTGATGCCATCTTGATTGGGGTCACCATGACCTCAGCGTTCTTCCTCTGCGCGTATGGAATTGGCAGCGGGCGCGGCAACCCTGTCGAGTCGTCCCTACTCTTCGCATACGTCGTTCTCTGCGTCTACCAGATCTTCACCGACTACCTTCCCTCGGAGTCCACAGAAGCGGATCAACACCAGTCCTCACAGCCCGATTTCCCACCCTTGCCGCCGATTATCATGGCATCTTACTCGACTCTACTTCACATGCTCGGCTCCCTTCCCCATGCCGTTCACTCGTCTCTCAGTCTTCTGTATGCAGCGTTCCAGACCATTACGCCTTCTGTCATCATTTCTCTCGCCTTCCGACTTCTTGTCTTTTACTGCGCTACCCGCATTATTCCTGCTGTCCGCGAATCAGGAGCGAGGGCTCTCATGGAGGAACCGACTCTGGAGGAATCAGACGCTGCCAACTGGCTACTTGGGATCATCACCTACTTCTCGCCTTCGATTCTCATCGCCATGTACACAAGCTTGCTTCTGCAACACTTTTCGACGAATGATGGACCAGATGGGTGGACGTTGAGAGGAGGCGACCCGGGCGGCAACGTCTGGCGCTGGACAAACGTAGCAGCGACAATGACTCTGTACGCGATCGAGTTGTACTTGGGTAACGAGGATCACGATGGTGGTCTGACAAATCATTGGAAGATGGATTAAGAGCGAGGTTACCAACACTCGCGGAACAATTCGACCAAATTTGCTTCTCGATGGCATGGGGGGTTGCCCTATGTTGTCGGGACTTAATGAGTGCAGTCTGCCCAGGCAGGCTAACAAAGACGGATCGATCATCGTACATAGGTCGTAATGACACACGGGCTAAGGGAACGGAAAGGGAACGGACAGGCACAGAAATACGGCGTTTAGGGGGTGAAAGTCTGCATGCTCGAATGGCGATTCTTTTACTTGCGGACTCGGCTGAATAGCTAAAGGGAATTTTGATGATTGTTGCTTGAGAGCACTGACTGGTGCTTGGGCCTTTTCCAAACTACCTACATTAGTTAGAAAACTCATCTTTTAAATCAATGGCCTTGGAAATAATGTCTATTATATTGCCGACGATCGCCTTGATGGATTCCAAGATTTTGCTCCATCGACAGTGTGTCCTGGTCTTAATCCAAGTCCTAGGTCGGCTTGTTGAAACTGGTGTAAGTTTACATGATCGAAGTCTATAATCGGAGTCGAGGTTCGGACGGGCTGCGAGCTGCAAGCTTGCTCGGCCATAACCACGGGGCGCATCCACTTTGACGTTGCACTCGCTCCGTCGCAACTCCGGTCTTTTCTGGGGGGCCTCGGCAACTCCGCGCTTATCAACTTCACCTCTCTCTCACTTACACCTCTTTATCCTAACAGCATTCGTCCCTCGGTGGTTTCTTAACGTCGTTCTCCTTCAGAATACGGCCTAGGGGCAGAAGACTTTCCGCAAGTTTTGTCACCTCATAACATTGTATTCACCGATACGTAATTAACCTACGCATCCAAAGAGCCATGGCAGCAACGCACAACCCGATGCGGGCATCCACCCCGCCGCCCGCCGTCTCCAAGACGACGATCCACATGTCGGGTCTCCTCTGTGACGTCTACGGTCTCGAGGAGCTCGTCGCGCGTAAGCAGAAGCCGTCGGCGGTCTCGTGTCTTTGGCTTCATCACCCGCGCTTGCGTGCAAAGGAGGACATGGGTGATATCGCGAGCCGGGTGATTTCCCAATGGGAGGAGACATCGTCGTCGTCTGCGTCTGGCAGTACCAGGGCCCTCATCGCCGTGGCGTTTGACCAGCAGAACCACGGCACCAGGACGGCGTCGGCGGCGGCGCGGGATAGCTGGCGCGAGGGGAACAAGACGCATGCGCTGGATATGTGGGGGATGGTTTCGGGTATGGTGGCGGACACGAAGGGGTTGTTGGATGTTGCGGAGGGGTATGTGAAGATGGAGCTGGGGCAGAGAAGGGATGGGAAGGCGGCGGCGGAGGAGGAGGGGTGGGAGATTGATCAGCATCTGGTGTTGGGTGTGAGCTTGGGTGGGCATAGTGCGTGGCAGACTATGTTTAGGGAGGAGAGGGTTGAGGCCGGGGTTGTTATTATTGGGTGTCCTGATTATATGGGTAAGTCCTCTTTTTTTCCTTCTTTCTTCTCTCAGCTGCGGATAGGGGATGTGTTTGTCTCGTGAGATGGTGAGGTATGAGAGAGGGGTGAGAGAAGGTCTTGACTAATTCGACTTGTGTAAAACAGCTCTCTTGTCAGACCGCGCGAGGTTATCCAAGCTGGCAACCTTTTCTGCGCAAGATAACGGCGCCTCGTTCCTGGGCAGCAGAGACTTTCCCCGCGACCTCGTAGCCTCTTGTCTGCGTCACGACCCCAAGGGCATCCTCTTTGGCACCAGCGCCATCTCGGAACGGGCCGCCAGTCTCACTCAAGACGAACAGGAGCGTCTGCGCGGCGTCCTGGACGGCCTACGCCTCCACGGCAAGAAGTTTCTCATCTGCTCCGGCGGCGAGGATAAGTTGGTGCCCTACGCCATGTCGGCGCCCTTTGTGGAGTTCCTGACGGCTGCTACGGGGACGTGGTTTGCTGATGCTGGGGTCGAGGTTGAGAATAAGGTGTATGAGGGGGTTGGACATGCTTTTAGTGAGGGCATGGTGGAGGATTCGGTGAGGTTTTTGGTTGGGGCTGTTGCTGGGAAGGATGCTGGGGCGGGAGCTGGGGAGAAGTCGAAGATTTGAGGGTCCGAAAGCTTAGCAGAGCAGAGCACACTGAGGGATCAAGGAGGTTGAAGACAAGGGAATATATACATGTGTGTGTGTGTGTGTGTGTGTGTGTGTGTGTGTGTGTATGTGTGTGCGTATCCGTAAAGATACTGTTCTACGCCCACGGCCTCTTTGCATCTTCTACAAGCGCCTCATGCCCGTCTACAAATATCGTAACGAGACCACTCTGTCTCCTCTCCCCTTCGCTCGCGAATAAAGTATCCTCCAGGCCCCACGGGTTCCTCGCCTTCCTCTTGCCCGCTAGACTCGCGCCCACGCCGTGCGGATCAACCGTCCACTCGTCCGCGGCGTGCTTTACGCCCGCGATGGCTCCCGCTTTGGAACCGTCACCATCGTCCTCCTCGCCATCATCCTCGTCGTCCTTCCTCTCCCCGGGGGCAGCATTAGTCGTCGTCGAAGCAGCAGCAGCAGCGGCGCCCTCCATCCCCGGCGGATCGATCCCGATGTACCTGGTCTGATCCAAGGGGAAGCCTATGGCGGCGCAGTGGCCGTCGAGGATGCGCGGTTTTTTAAAGGCGTGGCTTATGATTGTTAGGGTGCGGGGGTAGGTTGAGTAGAGGCGGTGGAAGAGGAGGAGGGAGTGAAGGATGTTGTGGTAGGAGTCTAGGGCGAGGGTGTCTGTGTGGATGAGGGGTGTTATGGGAGGAGATGGAGGTGTGGTGGTGGACGAGGAAAGGGAAGAGGAGGGAGAAGGTGGAGGAGGGAGGATGCCAAAGTAGGCGTTTGCGGCGGCGAGGTTGGCGTAGGATTCTGCTTCGGAGAGGCGTGTTTCTTTGCGTGTTGGGCCCCTTTTGGTATTGGGAAAAGGGTATGTTAGTTTTTACAGATATAGAGGTGTAAGAAGCTATCATAAAGAAGGGTTGAAACGCATAGCGATAATATGAGAACACACTGATGAATGTGAAGTGACGCCTGAACCAAACTACAAAGTAAAACGAAAAGGAAATCACAATCGCCAGGGGTAATACAAGTGAGTGATCGGGGGCGGACTATGGCACGTACCCCGAAAACACGAGCGCGGATGCCGGGTACTCGTCCCGCAGCGCCGTCAGCCCGGCCTTGATGTGCTCGACAAACGTCGGAGTTTCGCCGGTTTGGAAGTCGGCGATGAGCCACTCGGACTCGGCGGCGCCGTTGGTGGGGCCGCCGGTCCAGATGCCGTGGCAGCAGACGACGATGAGGTTGGTCGGGGGAGGTGTTGTTGTCATTGTTTCGATACCTAGATATCAAATTCAGGGGTTTCTTGTTTACAAATGTGAGGAGACGGTACTTGTGAGTTTTCGTTTTGGAGCTTTGATGTGCATCAGATTGTGGATCATGTGATGTTGGTGGCGGTGAAAGTTGCAACTTCTCCATTGTATGATACACCTTGCTCATTCTCATTATTGAGCTTTGAAGCTGCCACCCTTAAGGTAGCTTGCGTCGCATACTGTGGATATACGGCACGAGAAAGGGAAAGGGCATCCTCGATGGATTATAGACCAGTGAGGTAGCGGATTTACAATTACTTTTGATTATCCCGTGGCTGCTCACGACAGAATTCTATATGCGTCACCGACTAGATAGAGACTCCCCGTCAAGACAACCGGACCGTCTTTGGCAGTCTCAACAGCCCATCTCGTAGCTTCTTCGAGACCGTCTTTGCTTTCAAACACCTCCTTGGCGCCCGCGCTCGAGGCCATCTCCCTCAAGGTCTTGAGCGGCAAAGGCTCAACCCAGGGCATCGTCTCCCGCCGAGAGAAGCCCACGCAGGCGACATTGTCTCCGGGCCTGAGCAGCGTCCGCAGCATGCCGCCGGCGTCCTTTCCGTCCTGCTTTGATACTGATACGATCCACGTCACGGGCTTATCAGCGTCCCGCAGACGTCGCTCGACGTATGTGGACAACGTCTCGGCTGACTGTGGGTTATGAGCACCGTCAATGAGGATGGGATTTCCTTTACGTGACGGATGCCTCGCCTCGACATTCAGCCATGACAGTCTACCCAAGTGACTGACGTCCTTCAGAATTGGCAGGGCCTTTTCCACAGAAAGATCGAGGTGCGGGTACGCGAGCTGGAAAGCCGCAATGGCGCACGCCATGTTCTGCGCCTGATGCGGCATCAGCTCCGAGTCGTACAGAGTCTCGAGCAGACCGGGCTGGCTCGTGGTGAGGTGCAACGGCGCTGAGACGCTAGCGGCGTGCTGCCGGAAGACCTCGAGGACCTCGGGCGGGTTGCTGCCGTCGACGACGCACGGCACGCCGGCCATCATGATACCGGCCTTTTCCTTTGCGATCTCGGGTAAGGTATTGCCGAGGAAGGCCTGGTGGTCGAGGCCGATCTTCGTGATAACGGTGACGCTCTTGCGGCGGAGAGCGTTTGTGGAGTCGAGGCGGCCACCGAGACCGACCTCGACGATGCCCATTTGCACGTCGGCGCGGCTGAAGGCGCCAAAGGCGATGAGAGTGGTCACCTCGAAGAGGCTGAGGGCCTCCTGGGCGGCATCCTGGGATAGACGAGCCTGGTCGTCGGCGAGGATCTTGCGGTTGACGTCGGCGTAGACGTCTTGCGCCACGGGTGTGCCGTTGATCTTGATGGCGTCGCGCGGCTCGATTAGGTAGGGCGATGTGAAGAGGCCGTTTGAGATGCCAAAAGATTTGCACAGGGCTGATAGGTACGTGCAAGTGGTGCCTTTACCGTTTGTGCCTGCGACGTGGATAGCATCCCACTTCTGGGGTACACCCTCGAGGGCTCGCGAGATGCGGTGCAGGCCTAGGCTGATGCCTTTCATCGCCATGTTGTCTGTCGTTTTCCTGCTAGGTCTGGTCCTTCGCCTCTCTGGTAGAAGGTGACGGAGTGGTTCTGGCTGCGTCCGGGTGTTAAGACCCAGAGGATCACCAACGGTCTATCCGTATCTCGGTCTCGGCTCTGGATCCGACAGACACTTTTTCGTATAGGGCTGCTCGGACTTCGTAGCCCGGCAACGACTCAATGTTGCTCTTCTACTCCCTCAGGAGTGAGTCACTGGAAAGCTGTGGGAATGATAGGGTCTTGGATTATCAGGATCACGAGGATGGTTTCCGGTGCCGAACGATGTCAGCGAATGATCATGAATGAGCATTCCAGATATTTGCATCTGATCCTGAACGTTAACGGAGTGGCTGCCGTTATGTGCAAGCAGGCACGGCAGGCACGAAGCTCAAGCAGGTAGGTACCCTGGGCATGGTTCCTGCTCCAATGGTAAGGCGAGGAGTACGTACCTGAGTAGGAGCCAAGAGGAGGTACGTACCGAGATGTATTCATGGAAGTTGGCAAGTGCCGCTCCAGCCACACTTCCATTGGAGGCAGGCGTGAAGGGCAAGGCAAGGCAGGCTCACCACGGACCAGTGACCATACAACGGGAAGGCTCCGTGATTGGCCAAAGATGACTTGCTTGAGGAAGCCCGCGCCACAGGGGGGAAAGAGAAAGGCAGAACTCCATGACTGCGACCGGGGAGGGATGGCGCGGCCAGCCACTCACAAAAAAGAAGTAAAGCGGCTATTCCCCAAAGACCCGCGCTTTTTTTCCATTTTCCTTCCTGTTCCTTTTTTCTAATTGTTCCGCAGTCTGCCTTTTTCCCCCCTCCCGTCCTCTCGCCTTAGGTTGCTCCATTTCGTCCTTGACCGTCAATCCACGTCCAGTTCCAGTGGCCCCGTCCCAGTCCGTCACCGACCCCCCAAGTCCCAAGTCCCAAGTCCCAAGTCCCCCAATCCTCGCTCCCGCTCTCCCGCCTGTCCGCCCCACGAGGGAAAAGCCATTTCGGATTCGCGCAACTCGCCGATTCCATCGCGAATCTATCGCGAAACACGGTACCGCGGACCCATTCTCCATCACTTTCATCACGACGATAATCGCATCAAATCTTGCGATCAAACCGAGACTTCGCACCGCCTATCTACCATCCCCGCTGCCTTTGAATCCAATCCATTCGTTGTGCGCGCGCGCCATTAGTCGGTCACAATGGGACTCCCGTAAGTTTCTCGCCTACCCCTGCGGCTTTCCTGGTCGCGCTGCATTACCTTTGCCTTTGCGCCTGGCCTGTGGGACGCTGGCTCAATCTCGACCTGCCAGTCGCATCGCGTAATCGCATCCGCTTCCACTCCAATGCCTCCATCCATATCCATCTCGTTCATCACAAATCCTCCGCATACTTTCGTTTGCGATTCGTCGACCGCCTCCAAAGACTGCCTCGGCCACGTCGTCGCCGCGGTCGCTGCCGAGTTGTGTTCCAGTCGCGGTGAATGCACACTGCTTCATACCCTGGCCTCGCATTCCATCACTAACATCACATCTCCCCATCCGCAGACTCTTCATCGCTCCCGTCGAGTCAGATGTTCCCGCTCAAATCGGCGACAAGTCTGCAGCTGCTCGGCAGCCTCGCTCTACCATTCGCCGCTCCCGCCGCAGCGTTGACGCCCGCCCCTTCCGCCGTCGCGCTGCTCTACTCCGCGATAACTACCCCACTCCCGGCCCCGAACCTATCCCGCGCGCCCGGTATCCATGGATCGAATCTGGCCATCCTCCGCCTCCCGAGGCGTACGTTGCACCCCCCTCGCGTTCGACTCCTCCAGTGCCCGAACGCCGTAATCCCGCTGCTGAAATCATCGAACGTGTGAACGAAGCACGCAATCGTCGACCTGACAACAATGAGCCCAGCGAAGCTCGCCTGATTTCCATGTATGGTGATGAATGGGTATTGAACCGCATGCCCAGGCTCTCCAGCGGGGTTACCGTCACACCCCCGACCGGGGAAGAGGACGCCAACTGGCAGGAACCCGACCAGGCTCAGCTTGAGGGCTCATCATCATACGCCGACTACAGAGAGCGACGGAGATTTCGTCGGGCACAGCTCGATCGCATGTCAATGGTAGGCATTTTTGATTGTGACTCCGGAGTACGCTGTTGACTGACATACCAAGTAGCCCGCCCCGCCAGTTGCAGCACGCTTTGACCGCAGTCCCGAGCATGCAACTTCCGCCAGGTTTGCAGGACGTATGCGTAGACCCGACTTGGAATCGCAACCGGATCGCGCATCGTCCCGGCGCGTACGCCGGATTCGTCCGTTTGGCCACTTGATCGAGGCCTCTCTCGCAGACGGCCTTGGCGACCGTAATAGAAGCATCAGCCCTGATGAGGATGGCGTCTGGGATACACTGTTGACCACGTTGACGCCCGACCCGCAGCCTCCCAGTGCTGGCTCGTCCTTCGCTTCGGCTTCGGCTTCCGCCTCTGCCTCTGCATCGCAATCACAGAGCGCTGGCGCATCCTCTCGCACGTCTGTAGACAGACCCGAAAGGGCTGAGGAGTCTACCGAGCAACCTTGCGAATCCGGGCTTGACAACTCGGATAGTGAGGGCCACGAAGACTTGCACATGGGAAGGGGCTGGCCTGATCACTGGTCGATGAACTACCCGTCCAGACACCGGCGATTCGTCTCCGACCTGGACGCGAATGATCCGAGCAGAATATCCTACGTTCGTGGGGACAGGGTTCCGGGAGCTATGAGGGCCATGAGTAGCCGCGACATCGAAGAGATGCGAAGTCGTCGGCGACTGGAGCTCGCTCGGCACTACAGGATCGCGACTCGAGATCCCACTCCGCTACCAGAGCTGCTCGACCACATTGTCAGAGATTCGAGCGAGGAATCACGCGATGCAGGCGGCCAGGGGGATGGCGACGGTGACGCAGCCCCCCCGAGCCGCACCGAGTCGTCCAACGACAACGCACTGGAGGGTATGCAGGAGATTGTACGGCATCTCGCACGGCGACAAGACATTCCCGATGAGTGGTGGGCAGGTGCTGGGCTTTCCCGGACTCTGCCAGATGAATCTTGAACCGCGCACGATTCGCCGGGCTACGATTTTCTACGTTTAATAAGAAAAAGCGAAAAAGCCTGGGAAGTAAAAGAAGCTTCCCAAGGCATGATGTTTGGAGTATAACGGCTATAGGACCTGCCATTGGGAGGCAGTCAGGGTTCATTTTGGGGTTTATAATGGCGCCATGCAGTTATCTGGGCGGGCCATCTGTATAATACGTGTATTGAGATGGAAGCGTGACGGTTTTGAGATCGATGATAACCGGATAGGTTCCGTATGGGGAGGGAGGCCTGCGAGAAACCCATGGTGAAAAGATGCAGAGGATCTTTGCTATTCGAGGCGAAGAATCATCAAGAGAAATGAAACGGCCGTCGGCCACATTTTCTTTCCCGAGGAGGCTCTTGTTTATGTTGATTGACGTGCCCGTGGTATGCTTGTTAGCATTGGACGTGAGTGAAGGGGTGAGAGTGGGTAAGAGCAAAAAGTGCCAATGGTCATGTTCCCCGTGTCTCAGTCGCAGAGAGTGAGGCCGCGAGGGGGGCATGTTGATGTCTCTGCTGTTTTCTCTTTTTGGTCATCCGACTGGTGGATCTACGGATCTACGAGCCTATACGTTTCTTAACTCCAGAGGGGCGCTCAGGAATGTGTCATGTATCTAATCTGAAAGGCTCGTGTTGTGTTGTTCTGAATGGTCGTTTATACCTACCTGTATTGGCTGCATGCTTGGGGAGTGAGATGAGATGAGACGGGATGAAATATCAAAGAGGGAATATTGGCTGCCAGGAGGAAGGTCAAATCATAAGGATGATCAACTTAGGTATGTATGTACTTGAATCAAGTAGGATCGTGAACGGACAAAAAGGCGTGGTTCTCCGAATCTGGTGTAGACGTTCGCGGCTGGGTGTCAAGGTAAGGTAAAGTATACATTGGGTAAGATGCAGGTCGTCGGGCTGGCCACTCACATGTCACGAAGCCGGGCGGCGTGCCTTAGTGTGTTTTTGTTCCCGCGCTGATCACCATACCTACCTCACCTCAGGGCAGTCCACGGGTGGGTGTGCGGACGTGTGTGAGCGAGCGCGGCTAGTGTTCGCTCTCCTGTCCCCATTCTTCCCCTGTATTAATACGTGGACGGTTAAGGTAGGTGATTACGGAGTACTTTCATAAGCGCTTGGATGGGGGGACAAGGGATTGATTCGTACGGATACCCAAGAGGAGTGATATTCGGAGTAAATGCCATGAGGAACTGAGAAAAAAAAAAAGACGACGTCAGGTAATGAGAGGGGGACTCGGTGGCCCTGTCGCTGACATGGGGGAAGGTAGGGGTAGGTATCCGTATTACCGTAACGGGGGTATGTTGATCTCGTCTAGACGAGACACTGTCACGCCGTTACCACGGCGAAGAGCGATTTCTCACAAAACAATAATGGATTGCGGGATGGGGTGTGCATTTTGTAGAGGACGGGGTTTCTGCGAAACCTGAAGTCACTCAAAGGGTTCAAGAATGCAAGGTACATGTCTATCCGTAGACGCGTGCCATATCTGGGGAAGATCAGGAAGGATGGAAACGTGTCTGTGTAAGACGACTGGAGCGCATTGACTTTCGAGACCGAGAAGAGGGGATTGGCAATGGGCAGCCCCAGAGATATTGACCTAGCACGCCTAGGTTAATCAATGTTCGGTGTGCATTTCCATAGCTAAGGTAGCCAAAGCGAGGTGACGATATGAGAGAGGAACAGGATTGAAACTCGGGTCGTTCTTTTTTGGTTGTTTCCAGTTCAGGTCGGGTGCGTGTTAGCGCGCTGGCGGAGTCTCTGGGGGGCGGCGTGCGAGAGCTTCTAGCGTTGTTAGCGCGAGAAGTTTGGAATGGGATTCAATGGAAGCGTGCCCGGATTGCCCAAGCCTCGAGGTTGTCCCACCTGGGCCCCGCCTGTTCCTCTGCACCGATGGCAGCCGGCCAGGGCCAGTTGTGAAGTACACTAATCCCAGAGCGCGGCCAAGACATGCCGTCACACTGCATCGATCTGTCTTTGCTGGGGTGGGCGATTGTAATCGTAGTACCGTAAATAATGGCGAGGTGGTGTATGTGATAGTGACTGGAGAGATGGACCTGAAGCCTTTAAACCCGTGCCTGAACGGATGACCTGGGTAAGGTAGTGGTGACTGGTGAGGTACCTGGGTGCATCGCTGCCCTGCGGCTACCTGACCACTGATGGCACTCGCCGGCTCGCCCATTCGCCCACTGGACCTTCCCACTTGTACAGCGAAGTGCCTTGGAGAGAGCCAAATGCGGTTGCGCGCGTCAGCACCAGCGAGTCGAATCTCTTCAGCTTTCATCTCCCATCTCCCGTATCATTTCTGGCCCGCGCGCCTGTAAGTGTGTGTACGGTGTGTGTGTGCGTGTAAAAGTACCTAATCCTAGACTCACACATCACCTTTCACAAAATACATCATTATCCCCAAAGCTCCAGCTTCAGCTCAGAGAGAGTGTGTGGTGCCGACACTTCATCTCGTGTGTCTTGTTTTTTCTCGTTCGCTTTTGTCTGTTGATGCCCACATCCCACCCCCGGGAACCCCTCCGACATCATCTTTGCCAAACCAACCCACCACCCACGACTTCGCCGCCCGTCCGCCGCCCAATTCCCGTCCGCTCGTTTACTCGACCTTTTGCACCCAAACCCCTCCACCGCTCCCGACCAGCAGACCGAACGCCTCTGACCCGATCGACCGGCCGTCCTTGACGACTGCAGCGACGACGTGAAACTCGATAGCGGAGGGCATACCGAACTTCTTTTGTCCCTCTGCCCAAGTACGAATCGCGGAACGGAGGCACTAGCTGGCTGGCCTTTGCAACCTCCAAGGGTAGCCTACGACACCCACGATTATTTCTTTGTGTGTTTCCGCTGCCGTCATTTCCCACCAGTCTGGGCCTCTCACATTGGGGAAATCACCACCACCAGCCGCGCACCCGCCCTCACGTCACCACCCTCGTTCGACTGGGTTTCTCTCTCCCCTCCCCCCGCCGCATGCCCACCGACATTTTCATGGTCTAGACAATTACCCTACCGTAAACTGCCAAAGAAGAACGAAGCCCGACGACCGAGAACCACGACCCCGAACTGCATCCGACTGGCATGCCGTCCTGCTGCCGGGCAATGTGCAGCGCGCCCTCACTTTTGCCGTAATCGCCGCTCGCTTGACCTTACGATCCTTTTGCTCGGCTACTTTAGTTTGAGAAGACCAGGTCCTTCTTCTACGGAATCGCTTCTGCTTTGCGACGGTTCATGCCGATACCCTCGAACACCGACTACAAGATACCTGCCTCGTGATTGCGCCAGGCCTCCCATCCGCCGACCACCATGCCCAATCCCTCGCCACCGTCGTCGGCCTCGTCCTCTATCGAGCGTCAGTACCACGTAAACGGCAGGGCCGCCGTGGTCGCCTCCCGCGAGAGGGGTCCAGGAACACCGCGCAAGGAGAAACAGGGCCCCAGAGAGAGCTCCGCGCTGCAAGACCCGGGTTTGAAGGATTATGTGCGTATACCCGGCTCTGAGGACTCTCCCTCGACGTGAAGATGGAGAAAGAGGAGGGGAGAATGATGCTCGAGGGCCGCAAAAGCTGACAGGTTCCTTCATACAGCGTTTGGGAGAATGTCTCGGCAAGGGAGCCTTTGGATCCGTCTACAAGGCTTTCAATTGGGGAACGGGCGAGGCCGTTGCGGTCAAGCAGATCAAGCTTGCTGATCTGCCCAAGAGCGAGTTGCGCATGATTGAGGTATACTTTGCCCTTCGCTCGCTTGCCTTGTCGGTGGGATACCGAGACTGACATCCTTCTAGTCTGAAATCGACCTTTTGAAGAACTTGCATGTAGGTGCTTCCGACTAAAGAAAATGTACAGGGCGCTTGAGCTGACGATGCTTGCAGCATGACAATATCGTCAAGTACATTGGTTTTGTCAAGTCGGCAGATTGCCTCAACATCATCCTCGAGTAGGTTGAGCTCTCATTTCATCCGATCATCGCTGACACATCGGCTCAGGTACTGCGAGAATGGCTCTCTTCACTCAATATGCAAGTCATACGGCAAATTCCCCGAGAACTTGGTTGGCGTCTATACGACACAGGTCCTGCAAGGACTGCAGTATCTTCACGATCAGGGTGTTATCCACCGAGACATCAAGGGCGCCAACATCCTCACCACCAAGGACGGCAAGGTCAAGCTCGCAGACTTTGGAGTTTCGACGAGCACACTCGCAGGCGGGCAAGACAAGGAAGCACAGGTCGTTGGCACTCCCTATTGGATGGCACCAGAAATCATTCAACTTTCTGGCGCAAGTCCTGCGTCCGATATCTGGAGTGTTGGCTGCACGGTCATTGAGTTGTTGCAGGGCAGGCCGCCGTACCATAATCTCGCAGCTATGCCCGCGCTTTTTGCCATTGTCAATGATGACCATCCGCCATTGCCTGAGGGCATTTCGCCGGTTTGCGCCCCGAGCCCCTATTCTCCGTCTGGGTTTGTATGACTAACACGATTTAGGCGTCCCGCGACTTTTTGATGCAGTGCTTCCAAAAAGATCCAAACCTAAGAGTCACGGCGCGAAAACTTTTACGACACGCATGGATCATCGGATGCCGAAGAAGCGATGCCCCCGTTTCCAAGGCGCCAGCTAATTTCAGTCAAGCTGTGGAGGAAGTAAAACAGTGGAATAAGGCTCTCAAGTCGTCCGAAAGCTCACTTAGGGCGTCCACCGGTTCCGACAGCGGGGTTCCGGGGATGCAAGGTCATCCCGGGTCAAGATACAGCGCCAACGAACCACTCCGACCGAGCCTGATCACTCAGCCCAAAGGACCTCTGGCCCTCGCGAAACCGAGACGGACACCTGAAGCCTTTAGGTCTCCGGAGCTTGCTGGTAAGTATTCCTTTGATGCGGCTTAGTTCGATTGAGGATGACATATTGACTTGCTAGTAGATGACGACAATTGGGACAACGACTTCGCAACGGCCATCTCACCGAGCGCACTGCACTTGCCTCACTTGAAGCCACAGGACAACTTTGGCGGGTTGCTCTCCGCAGATAAGCTCAAGGCATTTGCTTCGCTCACGGATGCTCGCAACGACTCTGAAAGTTACGATGACGACTTTGAAGGAGAATTGTTGACTATCAAGGGGCCGAGGCAATTTACAGATTTCGAATTCCAGGAACAGACACTCCGTCCGACGCCTCGTAAGAAGAGCGACAAGTTCCCAGAGCCGATGAAGCAGCAATCGCCGTCCAAGCCAAGTCCGCGAAAGGCTGGCCATGCGAGAAACCCGTCCCGTCCCAAGTCTCCTGTCAAGCCGCAGCTAGGCCCCAGCAAGTTTGAGATACCAGCTCCCCCAGACCTGGCATTCAGGGAACAGAACACAGAAGACTACTCGGATTTGTTCATGGAAAACGATTTCAACGATGGTGGACTAAACCCTTTCATCAAAAAGGTCGATTCTCCTCAACTATTTCATCCTTCAGATCTCACGAGCTTGCCTCGTTCGACACAATCACCCGTCCCGGGAAGCTCGAGACGACCACCTAGCGCGAAGCTGCGGCCTTCGGTTTTGCCAGATCGGCCCATGCGAAGGACGAGATCATCGATTGAGATTCAAAAATTTGCCGAGGACGAAGGCGACGAAGATTTCTCCGACATTTTCGGGCCCGAGGATGCAGTCACAGAGAGGGAGGAGAGCGATCGGGGCTCGGAAGATGGCGGCCTCATGGTGTTGTCCAAGTATTCCAACAATTCGTGGCTCGGGGACGACGAGGATGAGGATGATCCATTTGCCTCAATGGACCCAGGGTGGGACGAAATGGACCTGGAAGCAAACATTGCCAGGGACAGACACGCCAGGCTAGCAGGCAAGGTGGAAGAGCTCGTACGGTCTTTGAAAACGTCGGAAGGCGAGGAAAAGCTGTGCGAGCTGGCTGAAGACTTGGTAAGTTTCATGTCTTTGCGTCCAGGAGGCGTTTTACTCACGTGCGTAGCTCGCCCTGCTGTGGGAGAACACCGAGATCAAAGATCTCATTCTCAGTGCTCACGGCCTGTTGCCGATTTTGGAGCTTCTCGAGCCGTGTACAGTTAAGAGCAGGCAGCAGATGATTCTGTCTCTCTTGAAGGTCGTCAATACTGTACGTAGCTTACTCCTTGCGATATGAGTTGGTGTGGTTCTAATGCGTCGACAGATTATTTTGGACGATGTCGAGATCCAGGAAAATCTCTGCTTCGTTGGTGGCATTCCAATCATCACCAAGTTCTCGGCCCGGCAATACTCCAACGAAATCAGACTGGAAGCGGCAGCTTTTGTTCGGCAAATGTACCAGACGTCCACTCTGACCTTGCAGATGTTCGTCAGCGCTGGTGGTTTGAATGTTCTAGTCGAGTTTCTCGACGAAGATTTTGATGATGCTCGAGACCTCGTCTTGATTGGCGTCAATGGCATCTGGAACGTCTTTGAGCTTCAGGGCCCAACACCAAAGAACGACTTTTGCAGAATCTTTTCGAGAAGCAAGATTCTCTACCCTCTTGCTTTGGTCCTCCACAGAGTCCTCGACGAGGAGGGAGAAGACGAGCTCTCCGAACTGATAGAAGGCCGGATCGTCAACATCTTCTACCTGTTTTCTCAGGCTGAGAATTACGTCAAGGAAGTTGTCGCGGATCGACAAGTGTTGAAGAGTAAGTCTTGTATCAGATACAATGATGTTATCAACTAACAACTTCACAGGCGTCCTGAAGGATTTACGACGAATGACACCAAACCACCAGATCACGATGCTCAAATTCATCAAGAACCTTTCCATGCTGTCAACGACGATAGAAACGCTGCACACAGCTGACGCCATCGAGTTTTTGATTGATGTTCTTGGCTATAGCATGAAGAAGGGACACCAGCACTTCCGAGAGATCTCCAACCAGGTCCTGAACACCCTATTCAACCTCTGCCGTCTGAGTAAGGAGCGACAGGAGGACGCTGCTGTTGGTGGCATTATCCCTTTGCTGATGAAGATTATGAACACCGATCGTCCGCCCAAGGAGTTCGCATTGCCCATACTGTGCGACATGGCACACTCGGGAAGCAAGGGTCGTAGATACCTCTGGCAGAACAAGGGCCTGGACTTTTACGTATCGCTGTTGGCCGACCAATACTGGCAGGTCACAGCGCTGGATGCTATTTTTATCTGGCTTCAGGAAGAAACGGCAAAGGTCGAGAGTCACTTGCTCGACGGCAAGTTTACTGACGCCATTGTTGCCTGTTTTCACACAAACAAGCTCAACTCTTTTGATGCCAACCTACTGGAGCCCCTGTTGAAGCTCCTCCGCTTGAGTCCTTCGATATCAGGCTCACTAGCCAAGCCGGAGATGTTTGCTGGCATCGGCCAAAGACTAGGCCACAAAAAGGCCGTCGTACGGTTGAATTTACTCCGTCTAGTCCGCAACATTATGGACGCATGTGAGCCGGAGATGCTGGGCATGGGCAACGGAAGCAGCTCCCTGAACGTCAAACAAGTCAGGTCTCTGTTTGATACGATCCAAATGCTGGCGGACAAGGACACTGCTGTGCTGGTTCGCAACCTCGCGTCTGAACTTGTCAAGTCGCACAACGAAAGCGAGCTTTATGACATGCCCTCGGAGAGGAAGGGCTCTTCTGGATCGGTAGCGTCCCGACGCTCGGGATCCGGACCCAGACGGAAATCGTCCTATACCCCGCCCGGACTTCACCATGCCATGTCGATGCCCGCCACACCGACGCAGTCACAGTCCCGCCATCACAGGCTGTCACAAATACCACCAGGGTCAGGCGGCGCATACATTGAGGTCGCCGCCAGTCCGAGACGGACTGCGGTTCAGGAGCGCGAGGCCATCTTATACCGCCCGCGCAGCAGAGATGGTGTCACGAGCATTCCCAGGCGGGTAAGCGGCGAGATGTCGTCAAGCATGCCTACCGGGCCATCCTCGGGCAAGAGCAGGCTGCCTCGCCACTCATTTGCGAGACCCAGCAGCGCCTCTGGGCAGCCTCCTCTAATACGATCCGAGAGCTCTCTGTCAAATAAAGAGAACGTCAGCAGAAACACGTCCGCCGTGTCAGCTCCCGCCGCATCACCTGTCCTGCCAACGAGCATGGCCAACAAGCGGCGAAGCAGAGCTCCAAGTTCGGACGTCAAATGGTCGTCATAGTAGAGGTCATAACATTGCAGCCATGACCGGGCTGCACTTTCATTTTTCTTAACCCTTTTTACTTTTCCAGTTTTGCATGTGCGGGTTTTCGACTCGCAGGGCTTGGGCAAATGATACCTCGTGGGTATACACACGGCTGGCTCGGATGGAGGAGAAGGAGGCATGAATTTATAACGTTGCACACGTTTTTCTTTTTTTTGATATGAGACGAAGGCTACCATGAGTCTATTTATGTTCATGTTGAAGCGGGGAGAAGAGAAGAGACGTGAAGCAAAAAAAGGGGTCCACGCTAAAGATTCCCTATGTAAACGTTGGGTTTGACAGAGGTAGTAAAAAGTCCTCTGGTACTCTGGGAGGGAAACAAAATCTTGTTGTCTTTTGTCTTGCAACTCGGATCATGAGAGGGAGCTTGTTTTTTTCTTTTGAGCTCCCCTGCGATAGCGGATGGCATTAGAAACAAATTCATGGCAAGCAATTGCACCCCCTATTCAATGGCTACGGCCGCCTTGAGTTTTTCCGTGTCTGGTCTAGTATCCTGTGGCTCCAGTCTCTTGTTTGCTCATTCATGATGAGTTCCTTCCGTAGAGAACAACCACCCCGCCGTCATCGAAAGACGTGACTGACCATCCTTCCCGAAAGGAACCTTCTCTTCGAAATTGTGTTATACCCTCGAGAGGTTTCTTAAACAAGCCACGCATCACCACCAAGAACCTCACTCCACAGCTGTCCCTCGGCCCTCTCGAACCCCTTTACGTCCCCGACGTCGGCAGCGCCAAAGTTTCGTCCGTGGAGATGGGGGAAGGCGGAGGGGAAGGTGCCGGAGGGGGGAAACTCCCATTTCATTGAGGAGGCGAGGGGTGCGTAGGGGAGTTTGAGGAGGTGTAGGGTTGTGGTGGTTGCGAAGAAGAGGTTTGCTGTGTTGAGGACCTGTTGTATTTGTCAGTTTTGGTTGTTTTCATTGTGGGGGGGGGGAGGAAAGGGGGAGCTTGTAGGATGAGTGTGTGTGTGTGTGCGTGAGAGGGGGCGGGAAGGAATGAGAAAGAGGGAAGAGGTGAGTTTGGGGAGTGAGATGTCATATTGGGGTATGTGAGAGATAAGCTAGAGAGCAAGAAAAGCATCATACCTGCTCCGCCGTACTCAAGTGAATAAAGCCGTCGTTACGATCGAGGTCCGAGAGGGGGAACTCAGTTGGCAGCGGCGAGGGCGGCGCCTCGGGGACGATTTTGTAAATGTATTGCGGCTTTTGCGTCGGTTCGGCAATTTTTGCGTCCTGTACGGGAGTATTCATGTAATCCTGAGAGAGGTGCTGGATGGATGTCTATTGACTGAGGATGCTGTGTGTGGAAGAGGAATGTCGACTTCTGAGCGGGTTTGTGCAACTCTCCTCCCGTAAGAAGTTCGATAAACCCCCACTTTCCTCTTCTGGAAGACCTGAGCTCCGGCGGGCTTACACCTTGGGTGGGGGGGATCGGAGGCATTTCTCATCTCACATGAAGCACCGAGCGGATAAAAACCACAAATCGTCATCAATGGGGTTTTATTGTTACAGAGACCTCCCGGTCCGTGTGTCCTATCTCATTGATCCATTTCCACAACCTTTTACCCCCATACCTTTCTTCGTACTCCGGGACGAATAACCACGCCCCAAAGACAAAAAACCGACCGCCCCTACTCACTCACTCACACCTCCTAGCTTGGATCACTAACTGTCGTAAAGAAGCATCTACAAAATTCTGTAGATGACTAGTAAACTTTTGCTTTTTTCCCTCTCTCTCTCTCTCTCTCTCTCTCTCTCTCTCTCCCCCTCCCCCCAACCCTCCCAGAGATGCTGAAATACCGCTTCGAGTGTGTAGTCAAATTAGATTTGAGACAACCATAGCACCACCAGCCGTATCCTCTCTGTTCACTCACTTCCTCCCCTTTTTCTTACTTCGTAGACTTCAAACTCTTGCTTGATATAGCTCAGTCTGCGCCTTTTGAAGCAGTTCACCACCTCTCGTGCTCATCCCCACGCGCGCCTATCGACGCGACGGTTTCGGTTGAATGTTGGGATCCCAGACTATCTTTTCACCGGTCAGACTCGCTGGTAGAATAGCAGGTAGGCAACCTTGTTGTCCTTGATGTTATCCTTGGCCGGCTTGCCCTTGGACGCCGTGCCATTGCCGTTGGCCACGGCGCTCCACTTCTTCTCGCCGCCCTTGTCACCACCCTTGGCGGAGGTGGTGACCTCCTTCCAATCGTCGCCCTCGTCGTCATCTGCCATGGCACCGAACCGGTTGGTCGACGCATCACGCGAGGCAGGACCCGATCGGCCGGTGTCCTTGGCATCCTCCTCCGCACCGGCTTCGGCCACGTCCTCACTGCGGACACGCCGAATGATCGTATCATCCAGGCGGATCCACTCGTTTTCGTCTTGCCTTCGCACGTCCACGGTGTAGTGACCACCGTTGGCTTGCTTGCCGTGGTGGTAAACGACACCGATGAGCCTGTACTTGGGCATGCCGGCACCCTCAGAGACAAGAGCGTTGCGTCGTCTCTTTGAAAGAACTTCCGCCGGAAGCTGCAAGTCGAGAGGATATCCGACCTTCTTGCCAATCTTGGTCGTTCCTTCGGTGTCAAATTTGAAGCGCTTCAAGTGTAGAATGAGAATCGGCGGCAGAGTCTCGATCAGGGTTTGCTTAGTCATAGGAGCAGCATCGCCTTGGAGTCTCTCAGGTACTGTCAGTCCCTTTATCGCGTCAACAACGTTGTGAATGTACGGAGCACCAATGTCCAGCTGAAGAGATTGGAAAGGCTCGGTAGTCACCGAGTCCTTCACACCGGGACGGCGAAGCTCTGATCGATACTGTCCACTGAACAACCGAGTGATGGGCGTCGTCGAGCTGGCCCCGGACGAGCGCGTCTCGACTGCTCTCTGTCTGGACCCAACCTCAAACCATCCATCTGCACCATCGTTTGACTCAACAACGCTGGCGGCGGAGGATGTAGGCCGGGTTTCGGCGGCCCCGTTGGTAGAGCCACTCGTGGACATTACCTGGGCGCATTCTTCGTCGATGGCGTTGAGAATCAAACCCAGGAACTCCTGAGCGTCTTGCTGGTGTCCACGCTGCAGAAAAAGGTTAGCGACATGTAAGAAAATGAGTTATGAAATAACATACTCTCATGCTGGCAAACGCCGGGAGAGGCTGGATGGCCTTGTATACAAACTCGGGAATGAACGAGTCGCCGTATTGCTCCAGCTGCTCGCTCTTAAGCTTCCGGCGCAGTTTCTCGACTGTTTCAGTCGAGTCGATGACCCGGAACTCCCTCATAAACATAATCATGGCATCTATGACGGGCGTGTCGCTCTTGAACTTATGCACAGCCTTCTTGCTGACCTGATCCAAAAAGTTGTAGAATGGTGCGCAGAAGAGAAGAACTTGCAAAACCTGACCTGGAATTAGCACAATGCTTGGCTGTATGGGCACAGGATACTGACTGAATTCATGTAACACATATTGCCGGTGTTGATCAGGCCTCTCGGCTCGATGAACTGAACCTTGGCAGCATTGCTAACGCGGAAGTCCTGGATGGCAGATGCGAGGGAATTTGTGTTTCCTGCGGAAAACACGGGTGCGCTTCCGTTGACAACACCATCGCCATTCGTGGAGACACCATTGGCCACCGCCGGAACAGCAGGGCCGTTGGCAGTGGGCTGCGCTTTGGGAGCAGCTGCCGCGGCGGCTGCGGAGAACAGTCCACTCCATGACTTCGGCGCCGCCTTGGCGGGAGCCGCCGGGGGAGTGTCGACCTTCTCTTGCTCCGCACCAGCAACTTCCGTGCCCTCCGCTGCTTCAGTAGGCTTCGCCTCCTGAGATGCTGCTTGCTTGGGCTCTTCTGCGGGCTGGCTGATGCTTGCTGCCTTGGCTTCCTTGGGACTGCTCCTCGGGAGAGCTGGAACGACTGGGACAACAGGAACGGCGGGCCGGGACGCCGACGCGCTGGAGTTGCTTGTGGTGGGTCTGGCGCTGTCCTTGGGTGCCTCAGATGCCGGCGCATTCACCTTCGGGCTACCCATGTTCGAGACGCTAGTTGCCGACCTGTCGCTCTCCTTAGGAGTTTCAGACGTCAGGGAGTCTGCTCTCAGGGTCGCGCTCTCAGAGTCGGTGTCCTTGGAGCTCCAGGGCGCCGCCTTCTTAGAATCGGTCTTCGCTTGGGAGCTGTCTTCCGCGCCGCTTTTGGTGGCCGACTCCAGAGCGCCTTCGTGCTGCTCCACAGGCAGTGTCAGATTCTGGGCGTTCGCGCTCATCAATCTTCTTCGTCGTCTTGACTTGGGAGCCCTTCTAGGGAACGGTGCTTGGTCGGGCGGTGTCCAAGGGAGCTTTCTTTGCTTAGCTACGAAGCCAATATGACTAGGATGTGATCGACTTACTGGTGCGCGGAATTCCTTTGCATCTTTGGAAAGCTCTGGACTCTGAGGAGCGGGGGCAGGGGCGGGGACAGGGGGCGCCGCTGCCGGGTGGAATGGCTCAGCGAAAGGCGTGACAACTGATGAGGATACGACCGAGGACACTACAGAAGGTGTGACGACTGAAGGCTCTGGCGTAGGTTCAACGTGTGGAGGCGGGGGCGGAGGCGGCGTCTGGATAGCGTTGGCAGCAGGTACAGGAGGCGGGTGATACGGCGTTGACAGAGCAGGCGATGGTTGCGAATACGGCTGTTGAACGCTCACGCCGGCCATGGGTACATATTGAGGTTGAGGCATTGCCTGCGGTGACCGCACGTAGGGCTGCTGTTGCTGATAGTGCATGTAGCCAGAGGGCATGCCTCCGTTCTGGTATTGATGCGGCAGCTGATGGTAGTACGGCGTCGGTTGAGCGTAGGGGTTCATGTAGTTTGGATACATGGGCTGCTGCTGATACTGTTGATACTGCTGGTATTGCGCATACGTCGGTTGTTGCTGCATCCTCCGTCTGTTGCCTCCTCCGGGACCACCACCCATATCAACTCCTCCTCCTGGCCCTCCGCCCCCCGGCATGGCTTGCCCAGCCGGCAGATGACGATTGTTCATCCTGCCGGCTTGGGAGTCGTGTATTTGCAGTGATCGTCCACGGCTGGAACTATCACTGCCTTGAATCTGCGGCTTCCTTCAACACGGTTGTCGGCGCGTTCGCAATGGAGCGTCGACAAATTGGTCGGAGGTCGGTTCGTGTATCGAGTATTAGATTGTTTGATCGTGTGGGATGCACGAAGGGAATATTTCCAAACGCCTTCAGTCGTGCGTCGCTCTCGTGAGGGTTGCGGGGAAAACCGTTGGGAAGAAAATGGGCCCGACTTGAAGTATTGCGAATGAGCGAAGGTGGGAAGAAATAAAGTGAACAAGTCGCTCGCCACAGGTGATTAATCGCGCAGAGACGGAGGGACGAGCTGCGATGAAAGGCAGCAATGGTGAAGGGTCGAGGATTGGCACGGGGCGACGGCTACGAAGTTAGCTGTGCGGTTGCTTCCAATGGAGATGACAAAAAATTAAGCCGCGCGCGGGAGAGGTAGAACCGTAAACCTGGAGCTAGCGGGCAGCGGGCTCCGGGCTTTGTTGGCGCAATGCGATTGCCTGAGCCGAAGCCTCGCGCACAGATCACTATTCGATCATCGCAGGCATGTATTGGCTCTCTTCTTCCGCAATTTGCCCGAAGTCGGCCCCACTGTAGCTGGCTTGACCGGTGAATACCTTCGAGGCTCCAGGTGAGCTCGGTGAAGCTTGGTGAGCTTACCTGCTTGGCTTCTCATAGGGTATGCCGAAAGGGGTTACCATTACATGATACCTATATTTCTGGCATTCTGCTCACGGATCTTGCAACAAGCTCCGGCGTGTCCCGTAGCACTGTGCTAGGTCAAGACCTCGTCTCGCTAAGACAGCATTCACTCTTCCGTGTCCGGACGGAACTCGAAGGCTTCACGGCCTTTGAGTGATCCATAGCTCGAGTCTGCGCAAAAGCTTTCCGGCTTCTTACTGGTGTTGAGGCCTGCTTAATCTTAGTCATTCACTCCTCAATATGAAGGGCACGCCAGCTCGGCCTTGACTCTATTTTGAAAGTCCTGCTACGACAACCCAGTCTGTACCCAGACCATCAACATCTGCTGTTGAAATCAAAACGCTCCTATGCACCTCGCTAAGGATCCATCCTCGACAGCTACCTCACTCGTCCTTGAAGATCCAGCGTCCTCCTCCTCTCATCGCTTCCCGATACCGTTCTTGGACCATCTGCTTCTCCCTCTTCTCGCCTTCTGCCCTCTCAGCCTCATCCTCCTGCGTAGTAGGGAAATCCGCGTTCCAGAATCCCGGAGGAGATGGCCTTCGAGCATAACGGTGACGATGTTTGCTCAACTCATTCGCAAGCTGCCATGTCTTAGCTTCTATCCACAGATCTTCTTTCTCCGCCTTGGACATCCCCAAAATGACGGTGATTCTGTCACCGAGATAATCCTCAAACAATTTGGTGTCTGCCGCCGGAGTTCGCTCGACGTTGTTCTTCTGGGCTAAAGCCATGGCGCGGAATTGTGGACCACAGCAATTCATGTCTGTACAGCCAGGTAAGCAGGCTCTGTCGTCTCTGTTCCTGACCACTTCTGAGAATGCATAGTCGGAACCGCCGTTGAACTTCGGGTTGACCTTGAAGTCCTCGAGACGCAGAGATGAGGCGGGCTTTGATCTTAGTGAACTGTTCTGGGGTGACAGCTGTGGCCCAACCGTCGCACGATTTCGGGACTGCCCGTGGGTTATGACAGGCTCCATGTTCTCTTCGTGCTCCCTTTGATTACGGGGAGCTCCCATCGAAAACTTCTCCCGGCGTTCCTTATTGAATGGCAATTCCCGACGTTCAGGGAATTGAGGTCCATTCTCCGCCATTCGCCCTGTATCCCGGAGACGAGGTGCTGACCGTACTATGGCAGGAGCCTGCTCAGGAGACGGTGCATTTAGCAGCGTGCTCAAGCGGCCAGGCGGTTGCGGAGTGCGGAAAAGCCCTGCCGGCTCTCCACGACCTGTTCCATCATAAAAAACCCCGTCCTCGGCTAGACTTCTTATGCCTTGGGCGAGTCCTTTCTTTGTTGGCTTCTCCGCGGTTTCGAACTCACAAGGGCGCACCAGACGAGCGTTAGGATTGACCGGTGTTAGAACTGCTGTTGAATTGGATATCCTGGCCGTGGGCTTGTTGGTGTTGTCCGGCCTGACAAAGACAGGTGCGGCCGCCTGAGCTCTCTCCATGTCAAGTTGACCAGGCGTGGCCAGGGCATCGGCCAATAACCTATTCTTCCGTGGCGTGCTAAGTCTCTGACCGACCTCATCCAGATCCATGCTTTCTTGCTGAAGCTGGCTGGTGACAGTGTCCGTAGCAAGATTCGAGCTCTCTATCTTTATTCTGCGTCGTCCTTGTTGTTCCGAGGAGGAATCAGCGTGCTTTCTCTTGCCCACAAGGCGCTCGGAGACGATAACAGGACCGTCAGAGGAGGGCTCTGGTTTGATGCGAATGTCTGAATCCGTTTTGGCGGTCTGTCTCAATGGCGGAAGAGTGACAGCATCGGCCTCCCTACTACCCCCGGTCGTCTCTCCCTCCGTCGAGTCTGAGGCAGGCAGATCCTGCGTCTCTACTCCATCTGACTGTACGGGAGCTCTTTCGGCAGAAGATTGTCGCAAGGCCCCCGAGTTGCTGGGTGTCGTTAAGATACTAGTCTCGGGATCAAGCGTCAACCTCGAAGTCAAGTGAGCGCGCGGCCTACTTTGGTCTGGAAGGGCTCCTGTTGTGTACGCCGCAGCATCAGCGCCATCATCACGTTGCTCCAGAGAGCTTATCTTGGCCTCCAACTCCGTCGCATAGTCTTCCCATCTCTTGATCTCCTCCTTCCTCTCGTCCCTTCTCTTGTTGAACTCTGCCTTCAGGATTCTGAAGTTCTGATCCAGAGCAGTGTATTTCCGGCGTAGCTTGTGGCTCTCCCGTAGAACATTATCCAGATCGCCTCCACTTCCAGAAGCCTCTGTAGACGCAATGTCTGTGTTGGTGGCTTGGTCGCTGGTCACATAACTCGGCCGAGGGCTTCCTCGAGATGACTCGACGGATCGATTTTGCTGATGGATTTGGAGAAGTTTCCTCCTAAGCTTTCGGTTTTCCTCCTCCAACCGATCAACTTCGTTAGAGCGAGATCTCAATATTTCAAGCTCTTCTGCGAGAAATTCGCGTGATCGATCGCCCTCTTTAAGCCTCTGCTCGATCTCTGTTGAGAAGCTAGTATCACATTATCATTACGTCAGGGTATCTACGAGCACATACCGTTATCCAGTTGCTTGCTAACTGTTTCACGCAATACTTCGAAAGCATCTTGGATTGCTGCCCGACCTTCTGGCGACAAGTTCTCCATGATTTACGACAGCAGTTCTACCAGGATACATGGAAGTCTGCTTGTGGTTGTGCGATGGTCAGTTGAAGCTGGGTTTCACGTGGGTGCGTGTGACGCCAAATTAAGACGCGCCTTCCCTGAAGCGCGTCGTGCCAAGACATTTCCAGGTCGATCTACGCGCCACATTTTGGTCTGTGCAAATGTGGCTGATTCACCCCAATCAGCCACTAACAGCAGCTTACTCTGCTCCAACACCATTTTATGCAGAGCTCCTCGACCAGGGTTTCTGCATCTCGATTCCGAACTGTACCTTATCATGCAATCTTCCGAGTTCTGGGAGCCCTATTTTCTATTTCTTCTTGCCTCGCAGCTCCCGATATCACTACAACTTCGGGACGACCTAAGTACGAAGGCCGGCGGTCTGATTCTTTGCACCTTGCACCTTGCAATGGAGACTGCATCGGAGCCACTGCCGCAGTAAGAAGACCTCGGGCGGGGCGCAGGATGGAAATGCAGAGCAACATGCCTTCGGTCAATTGGTACGGCTGGAATGGCTTGTGATACGGATACTGGTGGGCCTGCACGGCTACTCCGATATATCTACGGATACTTCTAAACGTTTCAAGGCTAATAAGATTGAAGACACTTTCTGGCCAGTGGGCCCCCCCGAAGTTCCCCACGGACTACGGTCGTCCGGCCCGGCAGCTCTTCAACGGTCACCGACCCTAGCGAATGATCGTCATGGTAGACTACAACATGGGTTGATTCGCCGACCACAAAGATGTCTTGTAAGTCTTGTTTCTGACTCTGCAAGAGCTCGGTGGAAGCTCAAATTGGCAATGCCGGGCTTCATATATCTCTCGCCCCTCGACCTTGCATACTCGCAGGAACACCGGATCACTGATCACTCTGATGACCACAAAGCGCCACGTTTACAAGACCTGAATTATGGGAAAACGACATATCACAGACGAGGCCAGACGCACCACCTATCTGGGGTTGAGAACACTTGCGGGATCTTGGGCAAAGACATCTGGTGCTCAGCCTGGCTTTCGCGCTGTATTGACTAGGGACAGCCCAGAAATGCTCTCAATACCACACGCAGGAACGCAGAGCCAAGCTTGGAGAAGCATATCGCACGTGGCCAGTGACTCTCCCTGCACGGCCTGGTTATCAACTTAACATGCTTGGTGTTCTGCGACTCACAGAAGCTACAAATAATTACTAGCAGCCCACAACACCACTCGCACCCGATACCTATTTGGTTACAGCAATCAGCGGGACTCTCAACGCCTGTCAATGCCACGTCTCCGCTCGAGAGATATGTGGCAGACAATCTAGCGGACAAATGCCGGTATCCATGAGCAGGCTCCATTGCTGGTCTCCGCGCCGCCCCTATGACTTACGGGCTCTCCTGCATACTGCTGCGGTGGTTTGTGGTTACATGCCGTTCTAGCGTCTTGGGTCGCAGGTGCGGCCTCGAAGAGGCCAGTGGTCCGGTAGAGACTCCACACAAGTCGCATTCGAAAATGCTTCACATTTGCAGAGATGCAGTGGTGCCGTCATGTTTTCCCGGCGTCCGCCCATGGAGCTGATTCGGGCAGGTCGCGACCATCGCCGCTTCATTTCTCGGGTGACAGGTCTGCGCACTATGCGCCTGGAGCCCACGAGGTCCACGAGGAAGCCCGTTTGCTGCGTCGCAGCGGTTGGACACAAACCGCAGTCAACGATACCTAGCTTGCAGCTGCAGTAGACATGGGTTTAGTTGCACAGTGCACCCATTTCGTTGCGCGTTTGTTGCGTAATGGCTGGCTAAGCGAGAGAACATTCGATGGAATATCGGTGCCAACCAACAATTGCGGCGACAACAGGCACAAGCGAAGACGGTCGAATTGAACGTCGTGCGGAAGACCAGTACGAACGGGTAGGCCAGGACATGTTTCTTGGCAGTTGTGCAAGCGTCGCGGATAAGGGAAGGGTTGCCGGCGTAGCAAAGTACGAAGCGAAGTGGCTGTCGGTTGAAATGGGTGACCGGGTTCATCCGGTCTGCGTGACTTCACAGGCCCGGGCGAAAAGCTTACCACCAACCTGAAAGGGAAGACTGGCCGAGATTGAACGCGGCAGATCTGACCGGACCGGAAGTGCATCTCGATGGAACGAACCAATCCTCTGCTCTGGTTCGCTTGGAGGGCATGGCTAAATGCGTTTCCGAAACTCGAGAATGGAATGAAACTCGTGGGATTTGTGCGTTTATTCCTCCAGTGAGATATCACGAAATGGGTTCCGAGGTGAGTAGGGGAGTGGAAAGGACGGAGCCGATGATCAAGGCTTTTTGTTCATTTGGTCCTCTCTCTTCCGTGAATGGGGTTTGCCTTTCGATGAGGGGACGCTGCCGATCTAGAGGGGCCGTCCAAGCCTCGGTTCGGTTTAAACCTACCCTGATGGCATCTCCGACAGGGCTGTTTATCAGCCTGTGCCCTGGAGGCTGGAGCAGCGACAGGGCGACAGTCGAGGCAGATGGTTCTTGATTCGAAGGAAAGAGCTGCGAAGAGACACCATGACACGGGAAGCTTTCTGAGGAGCATCTTCGAGTTTCGGTATTCCGCCAATGATCTGCAGCGGGCTTACGAGCTTCATGAAGCTAAGGCTGGAGCTGGAGCTACGTAGTAGAACCACGCACACACCACTGACACCAGCAGTGCGAAGAGACCACAGTGAGGCATGTGTCATCCCACGGACGCACACCCAGCAACACCAACGAGTGGCCAGGCCAGGCCGGGATCGCGGGGTACGAAATTGAGGCATATGTAGCCGACTGCCCAACACAGGGTTAACAATACGCGAATTAGAGGCATACAAATGCAAAGAGTGCTCATACGGTGTAACCTCAGGTTGATTATTCAGACATTACATGAACAGCCAGAACATCCTACAGGCTACGGCTCGAAGCAGCACTTACCAGCGACGACTTCACACTCGAGGACAAGGTGAGCCTTGTCTGATTGACGACACAGTGTGAGCCAGCGTATCCGCAGTGTGCGAGATTCCCCCCTCTTCCATTCTCACCTCAGGCTCTGCAGGCTGTAGAGTGCAGACTGCATGAGAGGGGCAGGAGCTGCGGCAGTCTGGCAGAGGCAGAGGCTTGTGAGACGGGGAACTTATCAGAGCCCGCTCATCGGGTGAGGTGGGAGCGTGAGTGAGAAACCACTGAGATTGAGAGCCTGAGAGGAGCATGAGCATGAGCAGCCCCTCATCACACCTCACCCTCCTCGAATGTCAGGACAGGGAGAGATGCAAGGGACGGGAGCACAGTGGCACGAAATCAAGGATTTCCGACCCCTCGTAGGGATGGAAGGGGTTTAGCGAGGTTTGGGGCATCGGATTTCACAGTGCCTTGGGGCCTTTGGGTAACTTGGGGCCGGGCCTGGCCTGCCATTTTTGCCTGCCAATGCTGCCATTTGACCTGCCTCTCGGCGATTTTTAGAATCTTACACAGGGGTACCCCACCTGCCTGCCTTCGACATGCTGAATTTTCTGATTGGTATTTTTGTTTTCCCCATGGCAGAAAAAAAAAGTGTCGAAAAAAATGGAGGGGCAAAAGTGAAATACGGACTGCGCGAGGACAGCGACGGATGGTGGGGAGGAAGGGAGGGGGGGGGTCTCACGAGTAACTCTAGCAATTCACTTCATTCGATCGACTCAAGCAAGAATGGAAGCAAGTAAAGGAAAGCACTTTACTTTCACCCTGACCAACCCGGTCTGGAGCATCGACGATGGGAATTTGAATTTGTAGAGTCACCTGCCTTTGAGTTCACCGTCCCTGGAGTTTACGAAGAAACGGGCTCGAAGTAAGCGCTTCCATTGACCCCCGACGGCTTCTTCTCTGTTCCTCTTAGGCGCTTTCCCCCCCATCGGAAATGTTAGAGTTTTGTGTCCCGTCCTGTCCGGCCTTATTGGAAGGTTCTTTAGGCTATCAAGAAACCCGAGCTTCAAGTGTCTTCATCTCAACTTCTTGAACCTTCGTTGTTATTGGGGGGGGGGGGGGGGGGGGGGGCAGCACCCAAGTCTCCAGGGAATACCTACATAATGTGGTATGAATTTGACCATAGCCCTTGATGGCAAGCCGGGTTGCTTCCTGACGCTGCATTGGTGAGGCAAACTGATAGCTGGTGCCCCCTTTTGCCTGGCCTGATTTTGCCCAAAGGTGTTCCAACTGTGTCATTGTGCCCTAGTATCTGAAGCTGACAGACGGCACAATCTCATCTTCGGCTATGGGAAAAAGGCGCCGGCGCGTGTCGGGCATTTGGAGGCTACCTTAGGTTATTGGAGCTGTATTGCTGTAGCTAGGCACAAGCATAGAACAAGGCAGGCCAGCCACGATCATAGGTGTATGAGGGGAACGAGAGATGAACAGGCACCTAGTTGGGATACCGACTCGTCAGATGTGAGGCAGGTAAGGTATGTCACAACCGTATTGACTGACAGTGATATAGGTGTATCTGGTCTTGTAAGACGTGACATGGAAGTAAGCTGGTCAGGTTTATATGACGCTGGTAATGACAACACTCAAGGGCATCAGCTGAAGAGTACTACGGCAAAGTGTACTGAGAGTTGAGGTGAGGTGAATGCCAACTGTGTTAATCCGTCATACACACGCACACGCGCACACACACTCATCTTCATGGGCACTTCCCGTCACCAAGTTGCAATCAAAACACAAATGCCGCCTGCCCGGCCCCAAGCCAGAAAGCCCAAGGAAAGGCCATAAGGGGCGCCCAGAGACGGGCTCTTCCCCTTATGAGAAGAGACTTGCCTATCTGATTGGTGCCTCGGCGCCTGCCCATCTACCAGATTTTCTTGGGCTCCACAAGGCGGTCTGACAACCCAAATTCGTTGCCTTTTCTTTTTTAACCTTGGCCACTCCCTGCCGCAACGACCGCTTCCTTCCCCTTCTCTCCCACAACACAAAACCACCACCACCCATCGCAAACCTTGCAAAACCACTACGAAAAAACACCCCTCCTTTTTTTTCCTTTCCTTTCGAGCAGAGATTTTTTGATCACGGCTCGATTATCCGCCCTTCTTATGTGAGTATAGCCTCTTTTCTTGGCCGTCGTCCATAGAGGGGGGAAATCCCCCTCCTTTCACCAATTTGGGATATAATCATTCACTCGACTGGGATCCCGTCATCGACATCAACAAAACCCCTCCAGAGCTTGCCAGCTGCCAACCACAAATTCACCTCTTGTATCTGACGAAGGCGGCGCACACGCACCTCCATCTCCAACTTCCCCACATCGCGCACCGCACACACACACGCGCGCACACACACACATGCCACTTGCCCCTCCCCACGTCAACCACATTGCGACGAGCCATCTTCGCCTCCCAGATCTTTTTCCCTTCTCACACGAAAAGCTTGGCTCAATTCCTCCCCTCGACAAATCTCGAATCACCTCATCGACCTTGCCGTTATTCTAACGTCTTTCTTCCAGTCCTAAACAGTACCGTTACTACTCCTCACCAACCCAATATCAATTGCAATGGATTTCCAGGGATCTGCCGGCGCCCCCCAGGCTCGCACCTGCTTCACCTGTGAGTAGCCTTCCCAGCTTCAGCGCTCCTCCTCCCCCC